AGGGTTTCCTGCTCCAAGTAGAACTCTACCTGGCAACCATTCACCCGGCGCCCTCGGGATACGAGAGCGTTTCCGCCCTCATCTCCTGTCTGTCCGGCAAGGCACTGGAGTGGGCCAATGCCGAATGGAGGGGAATAGACGCCGCTACAGTCAGTTATGCAGAGGGGGGGAGCGTCTGTTCCACCTCAGACAGGGGAAGAGGAGCGCGCAGGATTTCGCACTGGATTTCCGGACTCTGGCGGCCAATGCGGGATGGAATGAGAGGGCCCTCATCGATCACTATAGGTGCAGCCTACGGGAGGACGTTCGCTGAGAGTTGGCCTGCAGGGACACCAACCTAAGCTTCGATCAGCTGGTGGACATGTCGATTCGTCTGGATACCCTGTTGGCTACCCGCGGACGTCCGGAGCTGGGGCCGTCCATTCCATCCCCCAGCACCTCCGAGCTGAGCCCTATGGAGCTCGGGGGTGCTGGTGCTAGAGAGAGGAGGAGAGAGACCAGGAGAGAGGCTGTCCCCTGCACCAACTGTGGCCGCAGAGGACACACTGCGGTTCGGTGCTGGGGAGGGTCTCCTAGGGATCGAGGCAGCAGGCCACGCACTGATGAGTCATTCCAGGTGAGTAAGCGCCCAACTCACCCGGAGCTCTCTGTTGTCCACATGTGTATCCAAGTTGTGTTTCCCGAGGTTTCTTCTCCCTCCCAGGATAAGGCGCTAGTTGATTCAGGCGCAGCTGGGAATTTTATTGATCGCAGTTTCTGTTATAAGTTAGGGATTCCCCTCATACCAGTTGATGTGCCCTTCCCTATCCATGCCCTAGACAGCCGCCCTTTGGGGTCGGATTGATTAGGGAGGTCACAGCGCCACTTAAGATGAAGACGCAGGGGGGTCATGAGGAGATTATACAGTTGTATTTGATCGACTCTCCTGCGTTTCCCGTGGTGTTGGGGCTTCCTTGGTTAATATCTCATGACCCCAACATTTCATGGCAACAGAGGGCTCTCAGGGAATGGTCTGATCAGTGTGTCGGGCGGTGTATAGGTGTTTCCGTAGGGGCGACAACGGTGGAAAGTCCGAACCAAATGCCCGCACTGCACATTCCTCCTGAGTATACAGATTTGGCACTCGTCTTCAGTAAGAAGAGGGTGACTCAATTACCACCTCATAGACAGGGGGATTGTGCGATAGACCTCCAGGCAGGCGCTGCACTTCCGCGTAGTCATGTGTATCCTCTGTCTCAAGAGGAGACGGCGGCTAAGGAGACATACGTCACCGAATCTCTGGGACAGGGATACATACGTCCCTCCACTTCTCCTGCATCCTCGAGTTTCTTTTTTGTGAAGAAGAAGGATGTGGGTTTGCGTGTATTGATTACCGTGGTCTCAATCAGATTACCATTAAATACAGTTATCCTCTCCCTCTGATTGCGAGTATGACGGAGTCATTACACGGGGCGCAATTCTTCACAAAATTGGATCTCAGGAGCGCTTACAACCTGGTGCGCATTAGGGAGGGAGATGAATGGAAAACAGCATTTAGTACCACCTCGGGTCACTATGAGTATCTCGTCATGCCCTACGGGTTAACATTTTTACATTTACATTTTAGTCATTTAGCAGACGCTCTTATCCAGAGCGACTTACAGTTAAGTGAGTGCATACATTTTTCATACTGGCCGCCCGTGGGAAACGAACCCACAACCCTGGCGTTGCAAGCGCCATAATCTACCAACTGAGCTACAGGGGCCCATTAATGAATGGGCCCCTGTATGCTCGGGCAGGCTTCGGCGTTCGTCATCCCCGGAGTACTAGCTACTGCCGATCAATGTTTCGTTGTTTGTCTTGTTTTGTCTTGAGTAGTTACACCTGTTGTCTATTATGTTTGATTGTATAGCCTATAATTACCCTTGTCTCACGTCTGGTATTTGTGTGTTATTGTTTTGTGTCTAGTCGGTATCGGCATTGCTGTATTCCATATTACGTGTATGGTGTTTTTCCCTCCAGGTTCGGAGGTTTTGTTTCGTGCTTTACATTCAGTAAAGTAAGTCTGCTAGTATCTCTGTGTCCTGCGCTTGACTTCACTCGCCGCATACACATCGCACCTTGACATGTACAGACTCAGGGATTATCACAGATATCTACAGCACCAGTTTGTTTGAGTGTCATAAAAAAATATTCTAAATCAGAAACTTCTATCCAATTCTTTCATCAACTTATCTAGCTGCTCAGATACACGTTAAGTCTAACCAAAATTGGGTGGAAGAACTCCCTTTGTGAGGTGCTTAAAATGTCTACTTATAATCAAACACAAAATAATCAAACGACCAAAAATATACAAACTATACGTTCTCTTCACACACAAAAAGAAAAATAGCCATTCAATCTTGGGGAGGGATTTTAGAGTGCGACAGAGCGAGTTCTCATGAGGCTTAATTTATTCTCCAAAATACGTACTCTGCCATTTTTGCACCAGTTGTAGAACTGTGTAACCTTGAGTGCATAGAGATACCACAATTTCACATATTGTACCATGGAGGATAAATTAGTCTTAGGAGCAGAGTTTTGGGGGGAAGAGAACACCACTATGTCCTCACCAGGCAGTGCATCGTGGGGTATATTTTTTGTTAGCAGTGACTAAAGTTAGCTGATGTTTGTAGTGGCTGTTTAAAGAAAACCGAACCATGGATTGCAGTTTCTCTTGGCCCATACACTACTTTCACAGTGAGAAACCATCTAACATTTAGTTGGAAAATACTGAACCTCCCCTTTAAGATTGTTGCCCTACCTAGAGTAAAAATGTTTATCAAAACATGAACCAAGAAGTGTAAGGGTGGGAGTAGTGGGTGCGCCTGTTTATGTATTTCTACAAAAATAAAAGTCCATCCAGTCCATCTTCAACGCTCACTCATACAGTGGGGAAAAAAACTATTTAGTCAGCCACCAATTGTGCAAGTTCTCCCACTTAAAAAGATGAGAGAGGCCTGTAATTTTCATCATAGGTACACGTCAACTATGACAGACAAATTGAGGAAAAAAAATCCTGAAAATCACATTGTAGGATTTTTTATGAATTTATTTGCAAATTATGGTGGAAAATAAGTATTTGGTCACCTACAAACAAGCAAGATTTCTGGCTCTCACAGACCTGTAACTTCTTCTTTAAGAGGCTCCTCTGTCCTCCACTCGTCACCCATATTAATGGCACCTGTTTGAACTTGTTATCAGTATAAAAGACACCTGTCCACAACCTCAAACAGTCACACTCCAAACTCCACTATGGCCAAGACCAAAGAGCTGTCAAAGGACACCAGAAACAAAATTGTAGACCTGCACCAGGCTGGGAAGACTGAATCTGCAATAGGTAAGCAGCTTGGTTTGAAGAAATCAACTGTAGGAGCAATTATTAGGAAATGGAAGACATACAAGACCACTGATAATCTCCCTCGATCTGGGGCTCCACGCAAGATCTCACCCCGTGGGGTCAAAATGATCACAAGAACGGTGAGCAAAAATCCCAGAACCACACGGGGGGACCTAGTGAATGACCTGCAGAGAGCTGGGACCAAAGTAACAAAGCCTACCATCAGTAACACACTACGCCGCCAGGGACTCAAATCCTGCAGTGCCAGACGTGTCCCCCTGCTTAAGCCAGTACATGTCCAGGCCCGTCTGAGGTTTGCTAGAGTGCATTTGGATGATCCAGAAGAGGATTGGGAGAATGTCATATGGTCAGATGAAACCAAAATAGAACTATTTGGTAAAAACTCAACTCGTCGTGTTTGGAGGACAAAGAATGCTGAGTTGCATCCAAAGAACACCATACCTACTGTGAAGCATGGGGGTGGAAACATCATGCTTTGGGGCTGTTTTTCTGCAAAGGGACCAGGACGACTGATCCGTGTAAAGGAAAGAATGAATGGGGCCATGTATCGTGAGATTTTGAGTGAAAACCTCCTTCCATCAGCAAGGGCATTGAAGATTAAACGTGGCTGGGTCTTTCAGCATGACAATGATCCCAAACACACCACCCGGGCAACGAAGGAGTGGCTTCGTAAGAAGCATTTCAAGGTCCTGGAGTGGCCTAGCCAGTCTCCAGATCTCAACCCCATAGAAAATCTTTGGAGGGAGTTGAATGTCCGTGTTGCCCAGCGACAGCCCCAAAACATCACTGCTCTAGAGGAGATCTGCATGGAGGAATGGGCCAAAATACCAGCAACAGTGTGTGAAAACCTTGTGAAGACTTACAGAAAACGTTTGACCTGTATCATTGCCAACAAAGAGTATATAACAAAGTATTGAGAAACTTTTGTTATTGACCAAATACTTATTTTCCACCATAATTTGCAAATAAATTCATAAAAAATCCTGCAATGTGATTTTCTGGAGAAAAAAAATCTCATTTTGTCTGTCATAGTTGATGTGTACCTATGATGAAAACTACAGGCCTCTCTCATCTTTTTAAGTGTGAGAACTTGCACAATTGGTGGCTGACTAAATACTTTTTTCCCCCACTGTATAGCATATGCCAGTGTTACACTGGAGCCTCCTCTCAGTCTATGGGAGACCAATGGTTGTCCTTGGTCCTTTGACTTCCCGCCCAGTCGTTCAATGACTGGAACGCCCCCACCCCCAACCGGGATGCTACTTCAGACATCCAACTCAGTTCTTTACCAACCACCCCCCACTGCCCACCCCCACTACTCCAACCTCTACTCCCTCCCCAATATCCTCCAAACCACTCACACACGAGATCAGGCAAACAAAACACAAAAACACGGCACCACTGGGCCAGTAACATATTCATCCAGCAGGGAGCAGCAGCTCATGTCCTCTCCCACTGTATCTCCCTCCAGCCATCTAGACCGACTATAGAGTCTACTGTCTCCGTGAGTCTTGCGCACCTGCCAGCAGTGCGGTGCTCTCAGATTAGCTTTTGCAGCATTTTGTGCGACGCAGCCTAGCCAAATGTCCCGAGCACAGTTCTTGGATCAGATCTTGACTGATCAGATGAGCCGCTCCTCGGGGGGGACCTTAAGCATGCTATCCATCTCCAGGCGCGCCCCGGCCACCTCCTGAACGCTGGGGCTGTAGGCGCCCTCCGACTGGCACTTCTTGCGGTCTGTGAGCGCCATCAAGGTGAGGCCGATGACTGCCAGCAGAGCACCAAGGCACACCAGGCGGATGGCTATCACCAGCCACTGCACCCACTCTTTCTGGGACTGTTTCTGCAAGGAGGGAACAAGCAAGGAACCAAGGGAGAAATGTCAGTGATGAGTGACTGACTGTGGCTAAGTCTAAAATGACCTACTGCTAAAAATATGTTACACGTCATAATAATTTTCATGAATAAACCATTATAAATCCATACATTTGTATGAATAACTATAAATGCATTGGAAAGATAATAATACTTAGAAATGCTTAGAAGTGTTTACTAATCATTAAATAATTATTTATTGTGTATACATAGACGATTAATGCAAAATTACTTGGAAGAGGAGAAGGATGAAGAAGTCAATAGTTCTTACGCTTGTATCGCAGAATGGGCCGCTGTAGCCATGTAGGCACACACACCAGAACCTGTTGAGTCGATCGATACAGGATCCACCATTCCGACAGGGGTTAGACTCACACTCATCTATCTCCGTTTCACACCTGAGGAGGAAAACACAATAAGGACGTTTTAAAGTCTAGACAGAGCAAGCATGTAAGACATACATTGGGGTCCAAAATTATTGATAAAGAATAACAAAAATTACTGTATAAAATAAATCAAATACCTTTTGTATATTGTATGCTAAAAAAATTGGGAAATTATTTTATACTAATACAATTGCTCAGAGAATGAGATATTGTTTAACAAGTAATGCTTTTCTTCTCTCAAAAAGGTACTGTAGGGGTTAAAATTATTGACACCCGTTTCCAATTCCTTTCAATACCTCACCTTTCAAGGATAATCGCACTGAGCCTTTTTCTAAAATGTTTTATGAGATTGGAGAACACGTTGGGAGGGATCTTAGACCATTCCTCCATACATAATCTTTCCAGATCCTTGATATCCTTTGTCTGTTCTTATGGACTGCCCTCTTCAACTCAAACCACAGGTTTTCTTTCAATGGGATTCACATCCAGAGACTAAGATGGCCATTGCAAAATGTTGATTTTGTGGTCAATTAACCATTTATTTGTGGATTTTGATGTGTGCTTGAGGTTATTGTCTTGCTGGAAGAGCCAATGTCTTTTGCTGGAAGAGCCAATGCCGTTCATCAACCTGCCGGTGCTATGGTCAGATGACATGAAAATGTGGCCTTTACTACTGTAGCCCATAGAAACGCATTGAATAACACATTCATAAATGACAAAAAAAGACAGTCAAAAATAAATAAGGTGACCTTCTAGGCAGTGTTGCAAAGAAAAAGCCTTATCACTGGCCAATAAAAAGAAAATATTAAGATGGGCAGTCTGAGATATGGCTTTTTCATTGCAACTCTGCCTAGAAGGTCAGCATCCCGGAGTTGCCTCTTCACTATTGACGTTGAGACTGGTGTTTTGCGGGTACTATTTAATGAAGCTGCCAGTTGAGGACCTGTGAGGCGTCTGTTTCTCAAACTAGACACTCTAATGTATTTGTCCTCTTGCTCAGTTGTGCACCGGGGCCTCCCACTCCTCTTTCTATTCTGCTTAGAGACAGTTTGCGCTGTTCTGTGAAGGGAGTAGTACACAGCATTTTACGAGATCTTCAGTTTCTTGGCAATTTCTCGCATGGAATAGCCTTCATGTCTCAGAACAAGAATAGACTGACGAGTTTCAGAAGAAAGTTATTTGTTTCTGGCCATTTAGAGCCTGTAATCGAACCCACAATTGCTGATGCTCCAGATACTCAATTAGTCTCAAGAAGGCCAGTTTTATTGCTTCTTTAATCAGCACAACAGTTTTCAGCTGTGCTAACATAATTGCAAAAGGGTTTTCTAATGATCAATTAGCCTTTTAAAATGATAAACTTGGATTAGCAAACACAACGTGTCATTGGAACACAGGACTGATGGTTGCTGATAATTGGCCTCTGTACGCCTATGTAGATATTCCATAAAAAATCAGCCATTTCCAGCTACAATAGCCATTTACAACATTAACAATGTCTACACTGTATTTCTGATCAATTTGATGTTATTTTAATGGACAAATATTGGCTTTCTTTTCGAAAACAAGGACATTTCTAAGTGACCCCAAACTTTTGAACGGTAGTGTATATATTCTGGTATCCATCCCTACCATACCAAGCAGTGTTTCCCAAACTGTGGTACACTGTAATGGGTGATTTGTAAACAGCTGTATTATTCTGTGCATTATTGAGAGGAGCTTTGAAAACGTACCTCTCCCCTGCAAAACCGGGCACACAGGAACAGTTGGCCCCCCAGAGCCCGTCATGGCAGATCACATTTTCACACTGAACATCCTCTTCGCACATCAGTGGTGGATAGGTCCACCTTTGGGTAATGTACATAATTACACCCTCTTCACAATGGCGACTCAAAGCCTTGAAAACTGCCCAATGTCCACAATAGGTGTTCGAGTGAAGGGTTCCTGTTCATCAAAAAGTATATAATCATGCAACTTTCCATTAGTTATGCTGTATTTGATATGATAGGTTAAGCAACTCAATTTAAAGCTTGGTATAAAACCTAAATATGTGCTATCTAAATAAAAAATTATCTGAGAATGGTCCCTGACAACTTATTGTGACACTAATTGGTTGGCATAAACAGAGAGGCTACTCACTGGCAGAGTGGGCCGGCAAAGTCATCTGTGCACTCGCAGATGTAGTTGTTCACCCCATCCACGCAGGTGCCCCCGTTCTTACAGCCGTGTTCCTCGCACTCATTCAGGTCCTCCTCGCAGGTATCACCCCCGTACCCCGGGTCGCATGCGCACTTGAAACCTGCCAACTCGTCCGTGCAGGTGCCGTAGACGCAGGGCCCGGATGCGCACTCATCTGTGTCCACCTCGCACTGCTCTCCCTCCCAGCCCGGCTCGCATACGCAGCCAAACCTGTTAAAGAGATCCTTGCACGTAGCTCCATTCCGGCAGGGGTCGAAATGGCATACGTCAGCACTCCTACAACCCGTGTGGATATCCTCGTCGCCTGTTCTGTGGAAGCGGGCAGGCTGCGGCGGGTGTTGGGCGTCCACAAATGGTAGATAGACCCCACCGACTCGCACGGCGCCCAGACAGCCCAAGAAGCTCTCGGCGATAGCAACCTCCGCCCCTTCCTCGTTGAGGAAGTGCAGGGCACTCGCCTCCTCTGGGGTGCTGCTGGCGTCGGTGATGCCATCCACGGTGATGACCCAGTGGGAAGCCTCGCTGTCCGGGTCGGCCATGGATATGTGCACTCGGTGCCAATGGCCATCGGCCACGTGGCGCACGCCGGAGAAGGTCAGCACCTCCACACTGTTGCCGACATGGATCTCAACGCGGATTGAGGAGTCCAGCAGTCCCACCAGCAGGAGCTCGGCCGCGTGGAAGGCTCGGAGCAGCACAGCCTTCTCCGAGCGGGTGCGGAGCTCCAGGTACACTTGGGTCAGCGGCAAGCCCAGGGAACCCTCTGCGCTGAACTGCACTTGGTTGTTCTCGAAAGTAGTGTTGGTCACACCTGAGGGTTAACAGACAGGTTAGACATTAGACAACAAAAAACGCACTATATATATATATATAATGTACTATTAAAGCTATCTAGTATGCATCTTGTGTGTGTGGGAATTGACTCATTCATGCAAAGACAGCTATACACTAAAATAAATAAAAATGTTTTAAAAGGTGAAAAGTAAAAGGTGAAGAAACACTAAAGCGCTTTTCAGACAGCCAGCAGAATATCGCAAAGTACACAACTTGTCCCTCTAGTCAAAGTGGCTAGTACCTTCACACACAAGGCGACAGCCCACAGTCTATGCGAAAGCCAGCAGTGATCATAGCAACAAAATAATTGTCACTATAACACCATAAGCATGCATAAAACCTTATTTACACGCAACAGAAATTGTTAATCCAAAAATGTATTACAAAACAATGATTTTTATTGTTAAACATAACTCTGTAAACTGATAGTATTAGCCTGCTAGCTAGCTAGAGTGGGCAAGTTAGCTGGTCCTGCTGTTGGAATGTTAGTGCATTCGTATCACTACGCAGGCAGTTTTTTCTACTGTGATTGGTCAACAACGACGGCACCTCTTGAAAAATAGAGCAGAATCCTATTTACTTCGCGTCGGCTGAGCGGCTTCCATGGGCACGAGCGAGCACAGCTGACCACTCCGCCTGGATAGAATTTCAGAACCCTAAACAGTTTTGCCAGTCTTGAGTGATTTCTTACAAGCTAAGAATTAGCTTAATATTTACTCACACTCATATCCGTCAGCCAGGTCCACACAATGGCCACCATTGACACATGGGTCGCTGACACACCACACACGTGTCTCGCAGGTCTTCCCGGTGAAAACAATGGGACATGAACACGCAAAGTCATTCCATGTTATAGTACAATCTCCTCCGTTCTGGCATGGCACCGCCTTTAGACCAAAACAACATTTAGTCCATTATAGCCCAGTCACAAGCCACTGATTTGTCCTCATTCGCCACTGACCATGTCTTTCAATTTTTTTATTAATCTGAATTTTGATACAGTTGACATGATTCACATTTACAGCCTACCCTTCATGTCTGTAATATTCCACTCTAATGTTGATAATCATAGGTCAGTATGCAATACTAATACGATTCAATATTATTACACCTTATTACAATAGATGTATTGATATTAGTGTAGTCAGTCCTACCTGGCAGGTGTCATCGCTAATACAGCCAGGCTCTACATTCTCAGTGTTGGCAGGGAAGTACACCTCTCCCTCTGAGTTGTTTAGTGTGCTGTTCCACGCGTCCATGTCCAGATGTACCCCGTCCAGACGCAGGTCCTGCAGGCAACCCTTGAAGTGTCCTCCCCATGCCTGCGTCTCCTTCTCCTCCCCGGGGAGACCCCCTACGTAGGCCAGGTCTCCATTGTGCACCTCCACCTCGGGCACCTTGCCTATTCCGTAGCGCAGGCCGGTGTGCTCGAAGAACACTTGTCCATACTGGACCTTGAATTGGAGCAGTTTCTTTTTGCCCGTGGTCACGACGATGGGCTCCGTCAGTGCGTGGCTTTCTGTCAGGGAACTGACCAGGACTCTCCCCATGCCGAGGTAGACATTGAAGTAGGCCTCGCGTTCTTCTCCGTCCTCCCTGGGTCGCCTCAGCTGGAAAAGCAGGCCGTCGGGTTTCAGTGAGCGCAGGAAGAAGGAGACACTGAAGTTGGCGCCGTGGAAGCTGCCGATGGCATAGGCACTGTAGCTCACAGTTTTCTCATGACTGTACGTCCAGGAGGGGAACTCTGTCAGAGTGGAGGTGGAGTTGTTATAGAAGGAAAGCAATACTATGGATGACAATCAAGCAGTCAGGTGTACCTATTTCACCTAGGGTAAATCACTAATCTAGCAGCGAAGACAAAAATATTTGACAAATAAAATTACTTTGACAAAGCCAACCACAGCCCTCAAACAAAATTGCAAGTGTAGTTCATTTGAAAACGGTCTGGTTGGACGTTTCTTTATGAATGAAGTCTTCCTCAGAAGACTTCATCAGAAGATATATTTACTTTTGGTGGAAGGTAAATGTTGCTTACCATCGGAGCAGCTGTGACCATGGAAGGGCCGGTAGCAGTCGCAGCGGTGGCTAATCCATAGGTCCACACAGCGGCCTTGACCTGTGCAGGGGTCGGGTTTGCACCACTCTGTCTTGCTACAGCCCAGCTCCATCTCGTGAGCCTGCTCCTCTGGAAGGTTCTGAGGCAAGACGGTCTTGAAGTCGATCAGCATGTCCTCCATACACCCGACAAACCCGTGGCTGCTTGCTGTGTGCTCCAGCAACTCTTCAGGGACACCCCCCACGTAGACGTGACCAAACGCCTCTGAGGGAGCGAAGTGTGGCCCATCGGGACCACCATCCTCCACCTTGCACCCTTCACTGTCACATCCTGTACCTTTCAGGTTCAGAACCAGCCCTTCCTTCTCGTTTACATACACGTCAGCATCACGCCACTCCCCGTCACTGACCAGCCCAGAGAAGGCCACCTCCAGCTCAACATCCTCTGAGAAGGCCTTGGCGCGAAGGCCTCCACCCACAATTTCCAGCAGGAGGTGGCTGTCAGCGTCGCCACGGTAGAAGAGCACCATGTCGGGCAAGGTGGTGCGGAAGCGAAGCCGGACTCCCTTCCCGTGATGGTTGTGCTCGGCATGCCTCCATCTCCTCCTCTCTTCCTCTTCCAGGATTACCTTGATGAGGACGAAGCCCGGACTAGAGAATGAGAAGGTGGTGGGGGTGGAGCAGAGCTCATCGTAGAAGCCGTGGGGGCAGAGGCAGGTTTGGCCGTGCTCTTCCTCTTCCAGCCATGGGTGGCAGGTGGCGCTGTTCTGGCACTCATGTTCCACACAGCCCAGAAGCTGGATTTTGCAGTGGTGGCCACCCCAGGGCGGCTTGGCCTCGGGGCAGTGGCAGGTATAGCTGGCCACGCCATCCTCGCACCAGGCACCATTCAAACACGGCTGGCTCTGGCACTCATCAATGTTGATTTTGCAAATTTCCCCTGCAAATGCAATGCACTATTTTAGTCAGACATTTGAAGATTGATCTACCTAGAATGGAATATACAAATCAGTCTGTGGGCCTGATAAGATGCCAGCTGTAAAAACAGCAAAAAAGAGATGATACTGTCATGCTGTAATGACATACAGAAGAATACAGAGTTTACAGAGTGTGATGAAGACCTTACCCATAAATCCTTCCGGACACAAACAGGTGTAGCCATTCACCTGGTCCTCACAAGAGCCTCCATTCTGGCAGGGCTCAGACTCACAATCATCAATGTTCACAGAACAGTTCTCTCCTGACAAGGGACAAAGAAACAACACCAACAACATAATTCTTTGTCCATGAGAAATTTTCAAAACAATAAAAAGGTAACAAACAGTGTAATAGTAAAACCTGCTCCTTTCATTGGACTGCGTCTCACCTGCGAAGCCATGCTGACACTGGCACAGGTATCCGGCAGCATCAGCGAAGCTGAACTCCCAGTCCATCTCCCAGTGGGATGTGTCGGAATGCTCGAAACACTCGCTGTCGTTCTCACATGGCTGCTCAGCACACTCATCAATGTCAATCTCACAGTTCTCCCCTTTGTAACCTAGGAGACCCAATAAAATGTAAATACACTGTAATACTCTTCACTCAAAGCCTAAACAAACTGCACAGTAATTGTTGCTATAATACTCTCCAATCATCTGACAACATTAACAGCTGTACATATTATACTCAAATGATTTATGTGGTGGGTAATGGTAAGTTGCACATACCAGGCCAGCAGAGGCAGGTGTACTCTTTGACTCCCTCCAGGCAGGTGGCGCCATGCTGACACGGGTCAGAAGCACACTCAGGGATGTCCTCCTCACAGTGGTCTCCCATGAAGCCTGTGTCCTCACAGTCACACTCATAGCTGCAGGAAAGGAAGTCTGGGTCACTCTGGGGCAGTTGCAATCGCTACATTGACATTCAACAAAGCATATACGTGGTCCTCTGTAGCTCAGCTGGTAGAGCACGGCGCTTGTAACGCCAAGGTAGTGGGTTCGATCCCCGGGACCACCCATACACAAAAAAAAAAATGTATGCACGCATGACTGTAAGTCGCTTTGGATAAAAGCGTCTGCTAAATGGCATATTATATTATTATATTATATACGCTAAATACAAATTAATGCAATACAGCCCGGTGTAGTGCTTTGTTTAAGAATGTACAGACTCTGGACTGGTGAAATGTATTCAAAATTCAGAGGAGCACTCAAGTGCATGCCAACAATTTTAGGCCTACTTGTTAACAGATGGATGATTGAGATAACACCCTGTCTCAGTGTAAGGGGCTTTAGCTCACCAAAACAGCAGTCAGGCCCTAAAGTCATTTAAGGACAGGAGTTGTGTCTGTCTGGTGGGACAATTCTAAAAGCCTTGTGCAGTTACCTGGCCACCTTGTCGTGGCAGATGGCTCCATTTAGGCAGGGCTCACTGACACACTCATCAATGTCCACCTCGCAGTCTGTGCCCTCGAACCCAGGCAGACACTCGCAGGAGACCAATGAGGTCATGGCAGGTGGCTCCATTGCGACAAGGGTTGGACTCGCACTCGTCTATCTCCACCTCACAGTTCACTGCTGTGAGAGGTGGAGAAAAAGGAGAGTATGAGTTAGAGAAAGAGTGGGAGAATGTGTGATGATGAATGAGAAACAAAGTGGGAGTGAGTGAGGAACTGTACTGTCAGGTTATATTAGGAGGGGACATACAGTGCCTAGTGAAAGTCTACACACACCTTTTTCACAGCTGTCACATATTGCTGCCTTCAAATTAAAGATACATAGAGATTAAGTTTGATTGTTCCCCCTACAGATCTACAGATAAACAGATAAAACCCTCTGTATGTTCTAGTAATGTGGCAGGAATTGGGGAATTTGCCAGGTTCAAAATGAATATGAAAGGAGCAAAGCCCAGGTAAAAGTTAGAGGAAAACCTGCCTCAGTCGTCTGAATAGTAACTCTGAGTTTCATTTTTCAGTGGGACAATTACACAGATTTCAATGCCAAAGACACACCAGAATGGCTTTCCAAGAGGTGTTAAGTGTTCCTGAGGGGTTCAGTCTCAGTCCTGACTTAAATCTGCTAGAAAGTCAGTGACAAGGTTTGAATATTGCTGTCTGTCAATTATTCCCAACCACATATACTGAGCTTGAGCAATTTTGACAAAAACAATGGATGTATGTCGCCCTAAGAGTTGTGCAGAGTTGGTAGAATATTATTCAAAATGATTTATAGCTGTAATTGCTGCCAAAGGTGCTTCCATCAAGTATTAACTCTGGGGTGTGAAGACATATGCAATCAAGACATCTTTGTTTTTAATTTTTATTAATTTAGAAAAATGTATACTTTTTCTTTCACTTTGAAGATGTGTAGCAGGTTGTGTAGATCTATAGGATTTTTTAAATTGTAATCCCTTCTTAGATTAAATTTTAAGGCAACAAAATGTGACAACTGGGCAAGGGGTGTGTAAACTTTCACTAGGCACTGCATCTTCTACAGACTTTAAAGCATTTAAATCCCAGCACTTCACCACTGTATCTCATCTATATACACCCCCCCCCCCCCCCCCATAAAAAAAAGGGTGCTTGTCCCACTGGCTATCCTAAATTGAATTCACCAATTTGTAAGTCGCTCTGGATAAGAGTGTCTGCTAAATGACCTAAATGTAAATATGGAGCCAATGTTTGTCAATAGCTCATCTCTGCTCTTATGATAATACTGAAAGAAAGTATAGTGGACAGTAAATACAAGAGTAGCCATTTTGTACTCTATCTGGTGTTTGTTTCTCTAACTAAAAATAGGCAGTAGCATGGAGTCTGCTTGTGGATGCCTCTAGATAGCACAGATGATAATGTAAAGATGCCTCAGTTCGCCATCTTAACCCTTTCCTTGAAAATCTCCATCGGCAATGATATGCTGACAAAGGAATGCATTACTGCTGACCTTTCCCACCCCATTAGAGATAAGGATGAAGCACCTAGACAGACCAGGCCTGCTGAGAAAATAAAGGAGAGTAAGAAAATAAGTATACAAGAGGTGGAGTGTTTTCTCTCACACAGCGGGAGACCTATCCACAGGGGCCAAACTGAAGACAAGACTAGAGACCAGTATCGAACATCTTAGTCACTGCACTTACACTTAAACCAAACTTACACTTAAAGGTACAGTTAGTAAGATGACATCATCAACAACAGGACAATAACAACATCATTATTCAACTCTGCCAAGACTCATTGGCTCTGCACAATTTGTACCATTCTTTGTGGCACACCCACATTGATTAATATGAGATCGTCCTGTTGTGTATGATGATGTCATCTTGCTTAGTGCACCTTTAATGTGAACAAGTTATGGCTTGGTGAATGAAGTACTATGAGATACCTGAATCTTGCTGATACATTTTGTCAAGAAACATTAACAAGCAAGGCATAAGATCTCCCTCCACACTGGAGGAAGTGTTAGATGAGAGACAGTGAGTTGTGGATGGTGTAGGGTTGCGAATATGGTGGAAGAATTACACTTCATTCCGGACTAACTGAGTACAAACACATCATTGTGTGGGCAGAGGTGTGAATTATGAAAAGGCGGAACAGCGTACCTGTGAACCCTACGAGGCACTCACATTCGTACTGGTCCTTCTCGTTGATGCAGGTTCCGTTATTCTCGCAGGGCCGCGAGGCGCACTCATTGATATCAATCTCGCAGTTGTAGCCCTGGAAGCCTGGTACACAGAAACAGTGAAACTTAGCCAAGCCATCCATGCAGATAGCTCCGTTCTGGCAAGGGTGTGATGCACACTCGTCCACGTCCTCTTCACAATGCTTCCCTTCGAACCCCGGCGCACAGTGGCACTCGAATCCATCCTGTAACAGTATACAAGTCCCGTTGTTCAGACACGGCTCGTCGATGCAGTCGGTCACTTGCTCTTGGCAGTCCTCTCCTCCGTAGCTGGGCGAACATCGGCAGAAGTAGCCGTTGACCTGGTCGATGCACTCTGTATGGGGCTCAGAGCAAGGGTTGCTATGGCACTCATCCACTTCCTCAGTGCAGTTGTCACCGGTGAATCCTTTGGGGCAGACGCAGTGGTATTTGGACGTGCCAGGGGTGCTGGTGCAGTCTGAGCAGGCGGCGAAAAAGCAGGCATCATACAGTTCGTCGCAGTCTTTGCCCATGTAGCGGAACTCGTCGCGAGGGGGGCAGAGGCACGTGTAGTCGTCTATGGTGTCCACACATGTGGCACCATTCTGGCAGGGCCCAGACAAGCACTTGTTGCTGGTTGCCGTGCAGAATATCCCTGAGGAGAAGAATAGGAGATGGTTATTGTTGTGCAAAATTATGGACAGTTCTGGATGGCAGCAATGTTTGACTGAAACATTATACAGTATAATAATACCCTAATGCAGTTGAGATGCCATAACAAGTCATCACCACTTTTATTTATTATATGTCACATTTAGTGTGTTCACACACTAAATGTGAGAGCCGTTTACATTTTTGGAGGGATAAGTTGGTTGTCATTTATTGTGATGGTCTGTTACAATATTGTTATGACATCTTGATATGGGGGTGACGCCAGTACACTTCTGAATGTCTCTCATATATCCACACTGTGCTAGCACAATGTTGTTTATTGAGTGCCACTCTAACCCGATTCAGAACCAGCTTTGGTCCAGATTTGTAGGCCATTTGGTTCTGACACAAAAACATTGGCAATAATAATAATAATAATTATTATATATATATATATATATATATATATTTCTTTATATATAAACAGTGGCCTTCATTTACTTCTACAGTATTGGACTCATACCCATGGGGCTGAAATGAAATGATGATGTTACTCCAGAATAGCTACTAGAAAATGTATCCAACCGCTGCCTCACATTTGAGATTATGAAATGGGCTTTAAAAAAGAGAGCAGCCCAGTGGGGCTTTGGCTGATCTGAAATAAACAACTGTAAAAGTCAGCAATATCTGGGTGGATCTGAGCCGAATCACAAATAGAATATGCTTTACATTTACATTTTAGCAGACGCTCTTATCCAGAGCGACTTACAGAAGCAATTAGAGTTAAGTGCCTTGCTCAAGGGCACATCGGCAGATTTGTCAACTATTCAGCACAGGGATTCGAACCAGAGACCTTTCGGTTACTGGCCCAACTCTCTTATTGGCTCCTGCCGCTATGGTACTTCAAATTCTCGTCCACACATACAGACCTCGACTTGATGGGGACCACCTTCTAGTGATTCTATTTCTATGGTGATCAGTGCCCTTTATCCCAGCACAGGAAGTGCATCACTATGCTCACTACTACACACATTGGGCTCGATTCAATCCGCATTGCGGAAGTTCAGCGCCACAGTGCGACTGAAATCCAAAGGCAATGTTCCCGCGGAGACTGCATTCACAATAAACACTGCATATGTCGGCTCAATCAGAAATTACGTTTACATTTAAATTGCTTTACAGCCCTGAACCTCTGAGACACGGACCGAATCCAGGCCTGTGTTGGCCAAGTGGAATGATGCCCTCTAAAGAGAGAGAGAGAGAGAGAGAGAAGAGAGAGAGAGAGAGAGAGAGAGAGAGAGAGAGAGAGAGAGAAGAGAGAGAGAGAGAGAGAGAGTAGAGACGAGAGAGAGAGATAGAGAGTAGAGAGGAGAGTAGAGGAGAGCAGAGAGAGGATGAGATAGAGATAGAGCGAGTCTCAGCTCTATGCGATAGGCTCTACTGAGTATCTATATATCCGACTCTTCTCTCATATCGCTTCGCGCTATGTCTCTTCCTCCGCTTTTCTCTCTCAACGATCTTCATATCCAGCTTATCAGCTAGAGAGAGACGGAGAGACTTTCCCAAAATCATGTCCAATCACTTGAATTTACCACAGGTTGTAGAAACATCTCAAGGATGATCAATGGAAACAAGATGCACCTGAGCTCAATTTCGAGTCTCATAGCAAAAGGTCTGAATACTTACAGTTGAAGCCGGAAGTTTACATACACTTTAGCCAAATACATTTAAACTCCGTTTTTCACAATTCCAGACATTTAATCCTAGTAAACATTCCCTGTCTTAGGTCAGAAAGGATCACCACTTTATTTTTAGAATGTGAAATGTCAGAATAATATTAGAGAGAATGATTTATTTCAGCTTTTATTTATTTCATCACATTCCCAGTGGGTCAGAAGTTTACATACACTCAATTAGTATTTGGTAGCATTGCCTTTAAATTGTTTAACTTGGGTCAAACGTTTCGGGTAGCCTTCCACATGCTTCCCACAATAAGTTGGGTGAATTTTGGCCCATTCCTCCTGACAGAGCTGGTGTAACTGAGTCAAGTTTGTAGGCCTCCTTGCTCGCGCACGCCTTTTCAGTTCTGCCCACACATTTTCTATAGGATTGAGGTCAGGGCTTTGTGATGGCCACTCCAATACTTTGACTTTGTTGTCCTTAAGCCATTTTGCCACAACTTTGGAAGTATGCTTGGGGTCATTGTCCATTTGGAAGACCCATTTGCAACCAAGCTTTAACTTCCTGACTGATGTCTTGAGATGTTGCTTCAATATATCCACATCATTTTCCTTCCTCATGATGCCATCTATTTTGTGAAGTGCACCAGTCCCTCCTGCAGAAAAGGAACCCCACAGCATGATGCTGCCACCCCCGTGCTTCACGGTTGGGATGGTGATCTTCGGCTTGCAAGCAACCCCCTTTTTCCTCCAAACATAACAATGGTCGTTATGGCCAAACAGTTCTATTTTTGTTTCATCAGACCAGAGGACATTTCTCCAAAAAGTACAATCTTTGTCCCCATGTGCAGTTACAAACCATAATCTGGCTTTTTTATGGCAGTTTTGGAGCAGTGGCTTCTTCCTTACTGAGCGGCCTTTCAGGTTATGTCGATATAGGACTCGTTTTACTGTGGATATAGATACTTTTGTATCTGTTTCCTCCAGCATCTTCACAAGGTCCTTTGCTGTTGTTTTGGGATTGATTTGCACTTTTCGCACCAAAGTACTTTCATCTCTAGGAAACCGAACCCGTCTCCTTCCTGAGCGGTATGATGGCTGCGTGGTCCCATGGTGTTTATACTTGCGTACTATTGTTTGTACAGATGAACGTGGTACCTTCAGGCGTTTGGAAATTGCTCCCAAGGATGAACCAGACTTGTGGAGGTCTACAATTTTTTTTCTGAGGTCTTGGCTGATTTCTTTGGATTTTCCTATGATATCAAGCAAAGAGGCACTGAGTTTGAAGGTAGGCCTTGAAATACATCCACAAGTTCACCTCCAATTGACTCAAATTATGTCAATTAGCCTATCAGATGCTTCTAAAGCCATGACATCATTTTCTGGAATTTTCCAAGCTGTTTAAAGGCACAGTCAACTTAGTGTATGTAAACTTCTGACCCACTGGAAATGTGATACAGTGAATTATAAGTGAAATAATATGTCTGTAAACAATTTTTGGAAAGATTACTTGTGTCATGCACAAAAATGTGTGGAGTGGTTGAAAAACGAGTTTTAAAGACTCCAACCTAAGTGTATGTAAACTTTCAACTTCAACTGTATATAAATAAGGTATTTCTGTTTTTGTTTTTTTATACCTTTGTAAACATTTCTAAAACCCTATTTTCACTTTGTCATTGTGTGTAGATTGATGAGGATTTTTTTATTTATCAATCCATTTTAGAACAAGGCTGTAACGTAACAAAATGTGGAAAAAGTAAACGAATGCACAGTATAATGAGATGTTGATGCTGCTCTAGTCACACACACACATACACACACACACACACACACACACACACACACACACACACACACACACACACAGACATACAGCCAGGCAGTCAGTGGCATGAAACATTGGCAATAATTTAATTAAAGTGGTAAACATTGATAGTATACTGCATTACTGTTGCAAAAAGTTAATTGTTGGAGGTTGGTTGTGTTTCTTTGGGGCTGTTCAGCAAGTGTGAAACCTCTTTCACCCCAGTGCTGCTATAAACAAGAACACAATCAAACTTAGTGATGCAAAGAGCATCCTCTGCTAGATGAAGTCCAATAATTTGGTCAACAAAATCTCATAAACACTAGTAGGCTATAACGTATTACTATTTTGCATTCGAGTGTCACTAACATGCATTAACAATCTTGTTAGATGGTGGACAAATACCAGTGCCAACCTAGTGAACCACAACCAAAGTTAGGTCCCCCTGTGCTAATCCTGGTATGTGTATTCACCCTGACACTAAATTTCCTTTCATCTTCTCCCCCCTAATTCTAAAGGACAAGTCGTGTGGGAGAGTCCTGGAGCGACTCCAGATTTCATAGCTCCTCCCACAGCGAGACACCCGGGGCAAAATCCCCAACTAAAACTAAGAAACCCCCTGTACACAACAAGCCCATTTCCATTGGTTTTGTTTTACACAGCTAGTTTAGTGCTCATTGACAGACTGTTAACAACGGGCATCTGGGGTGACTCATGTGCTAATCTTTTCTGTCAGTCCCAAAGGGAACGAAGACCACCCCCAGACTGCAACAAATCAGTTCAACAAAAAACACCACAACGAAGTCACAAAAGATATTCCTTTGTAGCTCATAGCATCAGGACTCTCAACTGAGAGAGGAAAAAAGAGAGAGTTCCATCTAGCTAACCTTAGCCTTGTTTGTTAAGTCATTGTTATGCTAAAGTTCCAGAGAGGGAAGAGGTGTCTGGACTGAATTCCAGCCATGAACCCTTGATGGGTGGAGCAGATAAGATGGAGATCAGATGCATGGTCTGCAGGCTATCAAGTGTCCAGTCGACAGGTGAGATTTATGGGGTGGATAACGACGGGTTAGCGTGCTAAGGTAACTTCTCCAGGTCGTTAGCTTGGCTAAACTTTATCCATTACCACCCCTCTCTCTCAATTTAACACAAAAAATATTCCCACATATTCTAATCCATATTAACTACAGTACATCACGCTCTTTTGAACAATGCAGTTTGTTATATGCATGTTGTCATTGACTGCCAAGGCTTTTTCACAGATCATGTAATTATCACATAGGGATACATCCAGTACAATGATACTTGTATGATCACAATCACTATCAAAACTCAACTATGGCAGTTAATAACTTGACTGTCATCAAGTTTGAAATGGTTATGTTTTACACAGACAACTGGGAAAGAAAGAACTGCAACACTGAAAGAAAGACCTGCAGCACTGAAAGAAAGACCTGCAACACTGAAAGAAAGACCTGCAACACTGAATGCAACACTGAACGACCCCTCTCCAGCCAGACCCCTCTTCTGGCTGGGGCTTTTGGGCCCTCTGTATGTACATGGAACTGAATGGAACAGGACGCTTTTGGGAGGGGGGATTTTCTGTCCATCTATCTCCCTGCATCAGCCAATCGCGTGACCCCAGTGTGAAATCAGTCCACATTCCACAGATTGAACAGACTCCAATCCAAACGAACTCCCACCATCCCCCACCTCCACCGTCAAACCCACCATCCTAACTCCGTCCTCACATCCATCCCCTGCTCTTTGATCAGTGTTCTGTTCCAAAATTCTCATTGGAGCGGAAGATATTAACAATGAAAGGAGTAGAGAGAGAGGAAGGGAGAGATGGGGGTATATGGTGAGAGCGGGAGGAATCACTCATTTGGAGTGTGTGTGATCAATTTACCACAGGTGGACTCCAATCAAGTTGTAGAAACATCTCAAGGATGATCAATGGAAACAGGATGCACCTGAGCTCAATTTCGAGTCTCATAGCAAAGGGGCTGAATACTTATGTAAATAAGGTATTTCTGTTTTTTATTTATAATAAATTAGCAACATTTTCTAAAAACCTGTTTTCGCTTTGTCATTATGGGGTATTGTGTATAGATTGCGGAGGGAAATTTTTTTAAAAATACATTTTAGAATAAGGCTGTAACGTAACAAAATGCGGAAAAAGTATATCAGTTAGCCCTGATACTACAGAGCTTGTTTGGCATGGACTGACGTGACAACTACAGGCTGTTTGGAAAACATTCAGGGTGGTGATATATTCACTTTGGAAAGAGTGTTCTGTCTGTGATTGGGGGAGGATGTCTTTGTTACAAATCCTTGTTAAGTCCTGCGATTATTGCAAGTTATCGGCCGAGCATGGTTCTGTCCCCCAACCTAGCAGTGTGGGAATCCCGAATTTATACACCATAACATGGGGGCTATGCTTGGGACTAGGTTATTCGTAGTATGTTTTCTGAAATACAAACCTCCATTTGACAATGGAACCTCATGATAAAGTCTCTTATTGTGAGACCATCTTATCAAAGTCGGTGTTACTTTCAGGCCAAGAGAAATCCCTTGATCAGCTTGTCAGCAAGCTGAATGCTCTGTCACAACAGCCAGAGCTTACGGCTAGATCTGTAGCATGAAGACATCTACAAAAGTAAATAGCTCAGCAGCAAGCAAGCTCACCATGTGCAGTCAGTGTGCTGAACGCAGCGTCCAAAAGGTTCTAACGAGACTCAAAGAGAATCCGCAGGGTGCTTCCTGGGGTCTCTGCAGGCTATTGTGTTTTTCATTCATTCTACCGTCTAGAGCAGCCACACACACACATACTCATTCATACACATTTACACACCTGCCACCGGCAACCCTTGGATACCAGAAAGCATTTAGGAATTCCTTTCTTGCGCGTGCATATGTGCATGCACCCTACCCCCGAGTCCGGGAAAGGGACTGGTAAACACATGACTTCCACCAAAACTCCCCCGAAAAGTGTCCAGCAGATTGGGGTTGCCATGGCAGCACCAAAAGTTATGCAGGGGCCTTTGGGAGGGACAGCGACCTCTCCTGACAACCTCCTCCTCCAACTCTCCTGTCAGCGTAAGGGATGCTGGGATGGAGTGGTAGCAGCAGTGGTGGGGGTTGGGGCGGTAGTGGGGTAAGAAAGATGGAGAGAAAAGCAAAGCTGTTTCAACTCACTCTCACCTCACGCTGGGGCCCACTCAGAAGGCAGGTTGTCGCATCTAATTTTGGTTTTAACGGGTCCTTGCCTCCCTTTGAGCCTTTCCTGCATGGGGCTTTCTGTGTGTTTGTAGGAACTCAGAGGATTACAGTTCGGCTTCTGCCGGGTTTTAGCCTCCTGCATGGCAAAACCTTTTCAAGAGCAGGCAGAGTAGTATAAACTAAGTCCGTAGTATGAACTAAGTCCACCTGTTGAGGTGAAAAGTACTGTGGTAAAGAAAAAAGGGTCCTAGAATTTGGACCTCATTGCACAGAACATTTCACACCACTATGCCCATGAGCGAAACTAGCTACATTTAGGTCATTTTTTTGCATTTCAAAAGTTTAGAACCAAAACAAACAAACATTTTCATGCATTATGCTCAAAGCACTAATTATGATAATGATGATAGTCACACTAAATACGGGGTAATTACAGCTGTATAATGGAAGATTGTGATAAGATATAACAGTGTTCTTCTCTCCTAGTTAACTCAGTTTAGCCTGTAGTGAACCGGAAATGATCCCAGAGATCAGTAGAGCTATACCGTGACATAGGCTGTTCTGAATGAAATTATTTTCTAAAATGCTGAAAGAAATTCTAATGAAATGTGAACGGACTGAGTGGACAACCCTGACTTACACAATTTTTCTAATTTCACCCTTTTTTCCATGCAACCATCTTCCACTCTCCTTAGAGGCAGGTTGGACCTGACCTCGATAGCCTTTCTCTGGTCTTAATCTCTCCCAGCCAGCCAATACCATTGGTCCTCTAAACAACTGATAGCAGGATACTTGCTCAGATTACCACCAAGAGGCTCTTTGCCTGTTCTCACTTACACACACACACACACACACAAACGTATGTTGACACACACACATACTATATACAGTGCCTTCAGAAAGTATTAACTTCCCTTTACTTTTTCCACATTTTGTTGTGTTACAGTTTGAAATGAAGGTTAAATTGAGATTTTGTGTCACTGATATAAACACAATACCCCATACTGTCAAAGTGGAATTATGTTTTTAGGAATGTTTACAAATTAATTAAAAATGAAAACCTGAAATGTCTTGAGTCAATAAGTATTCAACCCTTTTGTTTTCACAAGCCTAAATACGTTCAGGAGTACAAATGTGCTTAACAAGTCACATAAATTGCATGGACTTTTAAATGACTACCCCATCTCTGTACCCCACACTTACAATTATCTGCATGGTCCCTCAGTCGAGCAGTGCATTTCAAGCACAGATTCAACCACAAAGACCAGGGAGGTTTTCCGATGGTTCGCAAAGAAGGGCACCTATTGGTAGATGGGTAAAGAAAAAGCAGACATTGTATATCCCTTTGAGTATGGTGCAGTAATGAATTACACTTTGGATGGTGTATCAATACACCCAGTCACCACTACTAACTCGGTTGCCGGAGAGGAAAGAAACCACTCAGGGATTTCACTATGAGGCTATTGGTGATTTTAAAACAATTACAGAGTTTAATGGCTGTGATAGGAGATAACTGAGGATGGATCAATAACATTGTAGTTACTCCACAATACTAGCATAAATAACAGAGTGAAACGAAGGAAGCCTGTACAGAATAAAAATATTCCAAAACATGCATCCTGTTCACAATAAGGCACTAAAGTAAAACTGCAAAAAAAATGGCAAAGAAATTAACTTTATGTCCTGAATACAAAGCATTATGTTTGGGGCGAATCCAACACAACACATCACTGAGTACCACTCTTGTCACGTCTCCTCCCGTTGCTCCCCTCCGGCACTCTGATTCGCCGGTCTACTGAGCCACCGGTCTGAGTGCACCACCTCGGCAACACAGGAATGGAAACCCAACGCACCCAAATCCCCTCCAGCGCACCTGCACCTCATGATCTCATCACCACCACTATATACCTCTGGACTGTTCAGTCATTGTTGTGTATAATTGTTAGCGTCGTGTCGTTTACTCGCTCTTTGTTATTCTCTTTGTCATTGTTAAGTAAACCTTTACCTTGTTGATTCCTGCGTCTGCGTCCTGCCTCTTCGTATCCTCAGTACTCGTCACAACTCTTCATATTTTCAAGCATGGTGGTGGCTGCATCATGTTATAGGTATGCTTGTTATTGGCAAGAACTAGGGAGCTTTTTAGGATTCAAAGAAACTGAATAGAGCTAAAAGAAACTGAATAGAGCTAAGCACAGGCAAAATCCTAGAGGAAAACTTGGATCAGTCTGCTTTCCAACAGACACTGGGAGACTAATTCACCTTTCAGCAGGACAATTACCTAAAACACAAGACCAAATATACACTGGAGTTTCTTACCAAGAGGGCATTGAATGTTCCTGAGTGGCCTAGTTACAGTTTTGACTTAAATCTGCTTGAACATCTATGGCAAGACTTGAAAATGGCTGTCTAGCAATAATCAACAACAAACTTGACAGATCTTGATTGAATCTCTTGATGCTCCTGGACACATCATCAGTGATGTAACCTAGGGTCATAGGGTGTTTCAGGTCTTACAACATCAGACACCCTCACCCAGGTGACCCAGCCGAGGTTGATCAGACCCCAACTTGTGTCCAGGTTGCATTATGCTGCTCCCCATGGATCACCTCTCTTGATCCAGAGCCATCTTGAGGCTTTTTCAGCTGATTCAATGGTATTGCTGATGGCTCACCTCTGCTTCGCTCCATTGATGCCGAGTGTGCTGTACAGTAGGCTCTGTAAAGGGATTGCCCAGCAAAACCCCTGCAGCCTACCTCGATAGGCATGCACCTAGCCTTTACCAGACCAGCTCTTCCCCGGGTCACTGCTCCCACCAGGACACTGTGGCGCAGCCGAGACTCAGCCTGCAGCACGGCCTCCTCTGTTCTCCATTAGCTCCCGGTCTTGACCACTATCCCCACTTTTGGGACGCTCGACTCCCTGTTTTGCATCACTTCCCTCACCCAAGTGACCTTGAACTCCTCTTCCAGGGACTTCAGGGGCAGCCTCAGCTTGTTGCTGTTACCATAGAGGGCGATGCTGCTCAGGCTCCTGGGCAACCCCAGTCACCTTCGGAGATGGCTGCTGACCTTCCTCTCCAAGTTCTCGACAGTGGAGATGTGGACTTCATAGTTGAGCAGAGGCCAGAGTATCCTCAGGAAGATGCCATGCTGATACATCCACGCCTTGAACTTGCCGGGCAGTCCTGACGGGTTAACCGCTCTCAGCCAGCTCTCCAGCTCCTGACAGGTGGCTTGGATTGATGTTGTGTCCTTCTGGCTGCTGTTAAACACCTTGCCAAGGCTCTTCACTGGCTTTTTCGAGATGGTGGGGATCGATTGAAGAATTGGGCAAATATTGTACAATCCAGGTGTGCAATGCTCTTAGATCCTTACCCAGAAATACTCACAGCTGTAATCACTGCCAAAGGTGATTCTAACATGTATTGACTCAGGGGGTTGAATATTTATCTAATCAAGATATATTAGTGTTTTATTTTCCATAAATTCCACTTTGACATTACAGAGAAATGTGTGTAGATCATTGACAAAAACGTACAATTAAATCAATTGTAATATGACTTTGTAACACAACAAAGTGTGGAAAAGGTCAAGGGGTGTGAAAACTTTCTGAAGGCACTGCACTACGTACAGTACATGTTACATAAGAATGCCCGCATATACCCACACTTACGTATGCACACAGGTACAGTATACTCACAAGTACTATGCATGCACACGCTCTACCTCCACATAAGCATGTACACAAATACACAGCCTTGAAATACACATGCTCATACACCAGTCATGTTTCACACACACACAAACACACACACACACACACACACACACACACACACACACACACACACACACACACACACAGCAAGTGTAGTGCACAGATTGGCTGAAATATACCTAATTTTATTTTGTTTTTGAATGTGTATGCACCAAACAGTATAAATGGTAATAGCAGAGCAATGATTTTGAAACAGCTGAAATGTATAGACATTTTCCTAATATTTCAGACTAAAATTGCAGTAACAGTCTGTTACATTCTGGAATTGCTGGCTGCACTGAGCGTCGTAAAACTAGCTCATCCCTACCACTAAAATGAATGTACAATGTCGATAGTAAATCATACAAAAATGTTTTTTCATTTTTAACATGGCACCACAGGTCCCAGAGTGGTGCAGGGTAAATATTGTTCCTTATCTGGTAGGCTAACCTAATCAACTCCTGACCCTAGTTGTAGGGTATGACATAGTAATGAATCAATGAAAATTAAAATAAAGTGTTATAACCGGGCAATTTTTTTCTAATCAGGTCATATGTTTTTTCTTTTTTGGGGGGGGGAAACACATGGCCCTACGGAGGATGAAAACATTAAAACCTTGTCAAACTGCAGCAACCTTGTACTTGCTCATATTAATTATATTTAAACTAACAGGGGGGGTCCTTTACACAGATAAAGAGACAACTGCGATTAGACAATAGAACTAATAACATGGCTGAACTTGCTTATGAAGGGTTGCATCGTGTAGGCCTTTGCATCTGTAATTAAAAAGTAATTGTGTTGATTGATTAATTCCAGTGGCTATGGCTGCGAATATGGAGTTTTCTCCCCCGCCCCTCCGGAAACATCTTTCTCAAAGCTAAGGAACCGGATCACGTTCTGCGCATGTGTTATTTTATGCACATTACATAGCTGCTGCTCACGCTCCCCCTCCCTTTTACGTTTCTCTCTTTACTCACCCTCTTCTGAACCATGATGATGTAGCCTAACTCTCCCTCATATTTCTGAACAGCTGAAATAAAAAACCCTGTGGTGATTTGAACAAACATTCCCACATTTTTTTATTGAAGGTTATAGAATCTTCTCTGTCTGTTGTAAAGGATATTGCAGTTGCAGGAGCAGGACGCAGACCCTACACATTGCATTGGAGAAAAAACAATCAGCGTTTTGTGTGACGATGTAGGCTAATCTTTATAGTTGCTGCCATATCGTAGCGGGAGAAAATACAGGAGAAGTACAGTAGTAGTTCCTGAAAAACGTATGTAACTCCCCACTCTGTGTTTTAACCTAACTGCTACTTGGCTTCTCAATGATCATTGAAGTACCACACGAGTAGGTAACCTAGTGTTCTAGGCAGTCCGAGCAAGTGTATCCGGACCGGTAACCATAGTCTGATAATGAGCGAGTTCGTTTTGGATCGCCAGTGTGCTATTATTCCTTACCTTGTTTGTCAACTACTGCTTTAGACTGCTATTTGTGATGATAAACTTCATAGTTATGCTGCCATAACGTAGCGAGAATTGCTGAAAAAATAACTAGCCAATGTTTGCAATGATAATGAGAAAATAATCACTATTTTGACTGCCTGTATGTTTTTTTTTTCTTTATTTAACTAGGCAAGTCAGTTAAGAACAAATTCTTATTTACAATGACAGCCTACACCAGCCAAACCCAGACGACCTGGACAGTGTTTCCTCCAACACATTGGTGCGGCTGGCTTCCGGGTTAAGCGAGCAGTGTGTCAACAAGCAGTGCAGCTTGGCAGGGTCGTGTTTTGGAGGACGCATGGCTCTCGACCTTCGCCTCTCCCGAGTTTGTAGGTGAGTTGCAGCGATGGGACAAGACTGTAACTACCAATTGGATATGACAAAAAAGGGGTAAAAGTACAAATAAAAAAAATATGGTTAATATAGCTATTACAGTGAGGGAAAAAAGTATTTGATCCCCAACTGATTTTGTACGTTTGCCCACTGACAAAGAAATGATCAGTCTATAATTTTAATGGTAGGTTTATTTGAACAGTGAGAGACAGAATAACAACAAAAAAATCCAGAAAAACGCATGTCAAAAATGTTATGAATTGATTTGCATTTTAATGAGGGAAATAAGTATTTGACCCCTCTGCAAAACATGACTTAGTACTTGGTGGCAAAACCCTTGTTGGCAATCACAGAGGTCAGACGTTTCTTGTAGTTGGCCACCAGGTTTGCACAAATCTTAGCAGGGATTTTGTCAAACTCCTCTTTGCAGATCTTCTCCAAGTCATTAAGGTTTCGAGGCTGACGTTTGGCAACTCGAAACTTCAGCTCCCTCCACAGATTTTCAATGGGATTAAGGTCTGGAGACTGGCTAGGCCACTCCAGGACCTTAATGTGCTTCTTCTTGAGCCACTCCTTTGTTGCCTTGGCCGTGTGTTTTGGGTCATTGTCATGCTGGAATACCCATCCACGACCCATTTTCAATGCCCTGGCTGAGGGAAGGAGGTTCTCACCCAAGATTTGATGGTACATGGCCCCGTCCATCGTCCCTTTGATGTGGTGAAGTTGTCCTGTCCCCTTAGCAGAAAAACACCCCCAAAGCATAATGTTTCCACCTCCATGTTTGACGGTGGGGATGGTGTTCTTGGGGTCATAGGCAGCAATCCATGCCAAAGAGCTCCATTTTGGTCTCATCTGACCACAACACTTTCACCCAGTTCTCCTCTGAATCATTCAGAAGTTAATTGGCAAACTTCAGACGGGCATGTATATGTGCTTTCTTGAGCAGGGGCGCTTCAGGATTTCAATCCTTCACGGCGTAGTGTGTTACCAATTGTTTTCTTGGTGACATTGGTCCCAGCTGCCTTGAGATCATTGACAATATCCTCCCGTGTAGTTCTGGGCTGATTCCTCACCGTTCTGATGATCGCTTCCGCATTGTCTCCGTGCTGCTGTGCTGTTTGTTGCTACTTGGCTACCTGCCAAACTATTCACGTTTTACTTTTAATAAACGTTTAATCAATCTCTGTGTTCAACAAATTTACCAACTTTTTAGTTTTGTCCTCACTCATCTTTTTTCGTTAAACTTTTTCACCCCGGACGTTTTATCCCGATACAGAAGAGTCATTTTCCTGTGCGTTTTTGCTGCCAACCTTACTTTATTTTCCTTTTTTCCATCGCAACTTTTTTCCCTTATTCAACTTTTTCACTCCGTACGCTTTATCTGGACATGGTTCGTCAACATCTTCAACAGCCGAAGCTAAGTAGTAACATTAACATGATGTCTTCTAATTGCAGTCGCTGTACTCATAATATACAGGAGAACGATCGCCTTACGGCGAAAATAGCTGTGCTACAAGCCCAGCTTCAGACGCAATCGTTAGGCAAGGGTAATCTCAGTGTAGGAAAGGAAGAAACAGCGTCTGTGCCACCAGTAAGTACAGATAGTAACGTTAGTATAAATCCCCCCGCACAGTCCCCGCAGCCGGACAACTTTCTCATGGCTTCTGGAGGGAAATACTGTTGGAATGCTCAACCGGCGTCGCTCATTCAGCCGACAGAAACTTTCAACCGGTTTTCCCCATTATGTAGCGAGTCGGAGTCTGAGTCTGAGTCTTCTCTTGTCTCTACTCCTCCCGTTACGGGGTCTGAGACGCCGAAGGCTCCCACCATTAGCTCTGACAAATTGAAAACCCTAGTCATTGGCGACTCCATTACCCGCAGTATTAGACTTAAAACGAATCACCCAGCGATCATACACTGTTTACCAGGGGGCAGGGCTACCGACGTTAAGGCTAATCTAAAGATGGTGCTGGCTAAAGCTAAAACTGGCGAGTGTAGAGAGTATAGAGATATTGTTATCCACGTCGGCACCAACGATGTTAGGATGAGACAGTCAGAGGTCACCAAGTGCAACATAGCTTCAGCGTGTAAATCAGCTAGAAAGATGTGTCGGCATCGAGTAATTGTCTCTGGCCCCCTCCCAGTTAGGGGAAGTGACGAGCTCTACAGCAGAGTCTCAGCACTCAATCGCTGGTTGAAAACTGTTTTCTGCCCCTCCCAAAAGATAGAATTTGTGGATAATTGGCCCTCTTTCTGGGACTCACCCACAAACAGGATCAAGCCTGACCTGCTGAGGAGTGACGGACTCCATCCTAGCTGGAGGGGTGCTCTCCTCTTATCTACCAACATAGATAGGGCTCTAACTCCTCTAGCCCCACAGTGAAATAGGGTGCAGGCCAGGCAGCAGGCTGTTAGCCAACCTGCCAGCTTAGTGGAGTCTGCCAATAGCACAGTCAGTGTAGTCAGCTCAGCCATACCCATTGAGACTGTGTCTGTGCCTCGACCTAGGTTGGGCAAAACTAAACATGGCGGTGTTCACCCTAGCAATCTTATTAGGATAAAGACCTCCTCCATTCCTGCCATTATTGAAAGAGATCGTGATACCTCACATCTCAAAATAGGGTTACTTAATGTTAGATCCCTCACTTCAAAGGCAGTCATAGTCAATGAACTAATCACTGATCATAATCTTGATGTGATTGGCCTGACTGAAACATGGCTTAAGCCTGATGAATTTGCTGTGTTAAATGAGGCCTCACCTCCTGGTTACACTAGTGACCATATTCCCCGTGCATCCCGCAAAGGCGGAGGTGTTGCTAACATTTACGATAGCAAATTTCAATTTACAAAAAAAAAAATGGCGTTTTCATCTTTTGAGCTTCTAGTCATGAAATCTATGCAGCCTACTCAATCACTTTTTATAGCTACTGTTTACAGGCCTCCTGGGCCATATACAGCGTTCCTCTCTGAGTTTCCTGAATTCCTATCAGACCTTGTAGTCATAGCAGATCATATTCTAATTTTTGGTGATTTTAATATTCACATGGAGAAGTCCACAGACCCACTCCAAAAGTCTTTCGGAGCCATCATCGACTCAGTGGGTTTTGTCCAACATGTCTCTGGACCTACTCACTGCCACAGTCATACTCTGGACCTAGTTTTGTCCCATGGAATAAATGTTGTAGATCTTAATGTTTTTCCACAAAATCCTGGACTATCGGACCACCATTTTATTACGTTTGCAATCGCAACAAATAATCTGCTCAGACCCCAACCAAGGAGCATCAAAAGTCGTGCTATAAATTCTCAGACAACACAAAAATTCCTTGATGCCCTTCCAGACTCCTTCTGCCTACCCAAGGACGTCAGAGGACAAAAATCAGTTAACCACTTAACTGAGGAACTCAATTTAACCTTGCGCAATACCCTAGATGCAGTTGCACCCCTAAAAACGAAAAACATTTGTCATAAGAAACTAGCTCCCTGGTATACAGAAAATACCCGAGCTTTGAAGCAAGCTTCCAGGAAATTGGAACGGAAATGGCGCCACACCAAACTGGAAGTCTTCCGACTAGCTTGGAAAGACAGTACCGTGCAGTACCGAAGAGCCCTCACTGCTGCTCGATCATCCTACTTTTCCAACTTAATCGAGGAAAATAAGAACAATCCAAAATTTATTTTTGATACTGTTGCAAAGCTAACTAAAAAGCAGCATTCCCCAAGAGAGGATGGCTTTCACTTCAGCAGTAATAAATTCATGAACTTCTTTGAGGAAAAGATCATGACCATTAGAAAGCAAATTACGGACTCCTCTTTGAATCTGCGTATTCCTCCAGGGCTTAGCTGTCCTGGATCTGCACAGCTCTGCGAGGGCCTGGGATCGGGAGAGACACTTAAGTGTTTTAGTACTATATCTCTTGACACAATGATGAAAATAATCATGGCCTCTAAACCTTCAAGCTGCATACTGGATCCTATTCCTACTAAACTGCTGAAGGAGCTGCTTCCTGTGCTTGGCCCTCCTATGTTGAACATAATAAACAGCTCTCTATCCACCGGATGTGTACCAAACTCACTAAAAGTGGCAGTGATAAAGCCTCTCTTGAAAAAGCCAAACCTTGACCCGGAAAATATAAAAAACTATCGGCCTATATCGAATCTTCCATTCCTCTCAAAAATTTTAGAAAAAGCTGTTGCGCAGCAACTCACTGCCTTTCTGAAGACAAACAATGTATACGAAATGCTTCAGTCTGGTTTTAGACCCCATCATAGCACTGAGACTGCACTTGTGAAGGTGGTAAATGACCTTTTAATGGCATCAGACCGAGGCTCTGCATCTGTCCTCATGCTACTAGACCTTAGTGCTGCCTTTGACACCATCGATCACCACATTCTTTTGGAGAGACTGGAAACCCAAATTGGTCTACACGGACAAGTTCTGGCCTGGTTTAGATCTTACCTGTCGGAAAGATATCAGTTTGTCTCTGTGAATGGTCTGTCCTCCGACAAATCAACTGTACATTTCGGTGTTCCTCAAGGTTCCGTTTTAGGACCACTATTGTTTTCACTATATATTTTACCTCTTGGGGATGTTATTCGAAAACATAATGTTAACTTTCACTGCTATGCGGATGACACACAGCTGTACATTTCAATGAAACATGGTGAAGCCCCAAAATTGCCCTCGCTAGAAGCCTGTGTTTCAGACATAAGGAAGTGGATGGCTGAAAACTTTCTACTTTTAAACTCGGACAAAACAGAGATGCTTGTTCTAGGTCCCAAGAAACAAAGAGATCTTCTGTTAAATCTGACAATTCATCTTGATGGTTGTAAAGTCGTCTCAAATAAAACTGTGAAGGACCTCGGCGTTACTCTTGACCCTGATCTCTCTTTTGACGAACATATCAAGACTGTTTCAAGGACAGCTTTTTTCCATCTACGTAACATTGCAAAAATCAGAAATTTTCTGTCCAAAAATGATGCAGAAAAATTAATCCATGCATTTGTTACTTCTAGGTTAGACTACTGCAATGCTCTACTTTCCGGCTACCCGGATAAAGCACTAAATAAACTTCAGTTAGTGCTAAATACGGCTGCTAGAATCCTGACTAGAACCAAGAAATTTGATCATATTACTCCAGTGCTAGCTTCCCTACACTGGCTTCCTGTTAAGGCAAGGGCTGATTTCAAGGTTTTACTGTTAACCTATAAAGCGTTACATGGGCTTGCTCCTACCTATCTTTCCGAGTTGGTCCTGCCGTACATACCAATACGTACGCTACGGTCACAAGACGCAGGCCTCCTAATTGTCCCTAGAATTTCTAAGCAAACAGCGGGAGGCAGGGCTTTCTCCTATAGATCTCCATTTTTATGGAACAGTCTGCCTACCCATGTGAGAGACACAGACTCGGTCTCAACCTTTAAGTCTTTACTGAAGACTTATCTCTTCAGTAGGTCATATGATTGAGTGTAGTCTGGCCCAGGAGTGTGAAGGTGAACGGAAAGGCTCTGGAGCAACGAACAGCCCTTGCTGTCTCTGCCAGGCCGGTTCCCCTCTCTCCACTGGGGTTCTCTGCCTCTAACCCTGTTACAGGGGCTGAGTCACTGGCTTGCTGGTGCTCTTTCATGCCATCCCTAGGAGGGGTGCGTCACTTGAGTGGGTTGAGTTACTGACGTGATCTTCCTGTCTGGGTTGGCGCCCCCCCTTGGTTTGTGCTGTGGTGGAGACCTCTGTGGGCTATACTCGGCCTTGTCTCAGGATTGTAAGTTGGTGGTTGAGGATATCCCTCTAGTGGTGCGGGGGCTGTGCTTTGGCAGAGTGGGTGGGGTTATATCCTTCCTGTTTGGCCCTGTCCGGGGGTTTCTTCGGATGGGGCCACAGTGTCTCCGGACCGCTCCTGTCTCAGCCTCCAGTATTTATGCTGCAGTAGTTTATGTGTCGGGGGGCTGGGGTTAGTTGGTTATACCTGGAGTACTTCTCCTGTCTTATCCAGTGTCCTGTGTTGAATTTAAGTATGCTCTCTCTAATTCTCTCGTTCTCCATCTTTCTCTCTGAGAACCTGAGTCCCTAGACCATACGTCAGGACTACCGGGCATGATGACACCTTGCTGTCCCCAGTCCGCCTGGCCTTGCTGCTATTCCAGTTTCAACTGTTCTGCCTGCGGTTATGAAACCCCTACCTGTCCCAGACCTGCTGTTTTCAACTCTTAATGATCGGCTATGAAAAGCCAACTGAGAGACCTGAGCCCTAGGACCATACGTCGGGTCTACCGGCCGTGGTGACTCCTTGCTGTCCCCAGTCCGCCTGGCCTTGCTGCTATTCCAGTTTCAACTGTTCTGCCTGCGGTTATGGAACCCCTACCTGTCCCAGACCTGCTGTTTTCAACTCTTAATGATCGGCTATGAAAAGCCAACTGAGATTTATTCCTGATTATTATTTGACCATGCTTGTCACTTATGAACATTTTTGAACATCTTGGCATGGTTCTGTTATAATCTCCACCCGGCACAGCCAGAAGAGGACTGGCCACCCCTCATAGCCTGGTTCCTCTCTAGGTTTCTTCCTAGGTTTTGGCCTTTCTAGGGAGTTTTTCCTAGCCACCGTGCTTCTACACCTGCATTACTAGCTGTTTGGGGTTTTAGGCTGGGTTTCTGTACAGCACTTCGAGATATTAGCTGATGTAAGAAGGGCTATATAAAATAAAATTGATTGATTGATCATTGCAACTCCACGAGGTGAGATCTTGCATGTAGCCCCAGGCCGAGGGAGATTGACAGTTCTTTTGTGTTTCTTCCATTTGCAAATAATCGCACCAACTGTTGTCACCTTCACACCAAGCTGCTTGGCGATGGTCTTGTAGCCCATTCCAGCCTTGTGTAGGTCTACAATCTTGTCCCTGACATCCTCGGAGAGCTCTTTGGTCTTGGCTATGGTGGAGAGTTTGGAATCTGATTGATTAATTGCTTCTGTGGACAGGTGTATTTTATACAGGTAACGAGCTGAGATTAGGAGCACACTCGAGTGCTCCTAATCTCAGCTCGTTACCTGTATAAAAGACACCTGGGAGCCAGAAATCTTTCTGATTGAGAGGGGGACAAATACTTATTTCCCTCATTAAAATGCAAATCAATTTATAACATTTTTGACATGCGTTTTTCTGGATATTTTGTTGTTATTCTGTCTCACTGTTCAAATAAACCTACCATTAAAATTATTGACTGATAATTTATTTGTCAGTGGGCAAACGTACAAAATCAGCAGGGGATCAAATACTTTTTTCCCTCACTGTATGTGATCCATTTTAGTCCGATTAATATTTTAAGGCATATTGTGGTTATGCAACATTGCAATGTTGACGCATGGTTAATTTTCATACATTTCGAACCTATAGCATTAATTATTCAAATCGACCAAACATTAAATGATGTCTGATAGTACATTTGTTGAAAGCAACAAGCATTACAAACCAGAAACATGGAGATAAGACAGATAGATTTTGTGCACTTCTCACCAGCTGTTACTGTCTGTCCCAAGGCTGTGTTACTCCCGCCCCGCCGGCAGGTACAAAAGTAATGTTGGGGTAATTCTGCTGTCGGTCTATTTAACTAAAATACCTTAGGATGAAATTACAGTTGCTAATGGTAGAGGACTACATAACTTGTTTGTCATCAAATATGGTGTGTCTAGCTCTATCGATCTCTGAGTAATTAGGAAAAAAAACTAAAAGTCTTTCTTTTGTCCCGGTTCTCCCCCTACTAGTATATTATATAGTAGTAGTGGTGTGGTAGTAGGCCTAATCGTTCATTTTTGATAGGCTAATGTTACATGATGAAGCAACTCTGTACTTTTGTCTTGAAGCTAAAATGTAATGAGTGTAGCCTACGACGGAGAAAAGAAACCCTTTGTTGTCTGCCACAAGCTTGTGAAATTGTTGGCAATTATTCAAGAGTGGTAATGTGTTTGGTTCCTTTTGGAGGGGGAAAATGTGTAATAGGTTAAGATGAAAAGTCACTTGCATAGTTTGAAGCATGCTGGCCTAGTGGTCTGATACTGGGATATTTAATTGGGATATTTACAATAATTTCCATTGCCAAGCGCCGAACCCTCTTCGTAAACAGACCTTCCATTGCCTAATGTGTAATTGAAAAGTGAATGTACATTAATGGTTTTATATTATAGATAGAATGTTGTCGCACTTGCCTCTCCTTCAACTTGTCGTGGATGAAGAAAAACTCCTTTAGGTTTCTGAGTCCTGAGCAAATGTACTGGTTGGTTTGGCCACAATCCTGCATCTAATGTGAGATTTTCCTGGAGATCACCCTGATGTAATCTTAACTGCTCTCATTTGGTCTAATCCCAACCCCATTTTCAATTGGCAATTTACCACCCGTCTGGGGATCCAGTGCACTTTCTGCAGACTTTCTAGGACTCGCATGGTACTGACCTGCCCCCAACCGCGTTTTCAACTTTTAAATTTGGGGCTATGAAAACCCAAACTGGAGCCCCTGAGCCCTAGGCCCAAAACGTGGGGTCTACCGGCCGTGGTGACTCCTTGCGTCCCCAGCCCGCCGGCCTTCTGCTTTTCCATTTTCAACTGTTCTGCCTGGGTTGGGGAACCCCCCCTTTTCCCAGCCCTGCTGTTTTCAATTTTTAATGATGGGGCTATGAAAGCCAACTGGATTTTATTCCTGATTTTTATTTCCCCGCTTGTACTTAGAACTTTTTTAACATCTTGGCAGGGTTCTTTTAAAATCTCCACCCGGGCACGCCAGAAGAACTGGCCCCCCCTCATGCCGGGTTTCCCTTCTAGTTTCTTCCTAGGTTTTGGCCTTTCTAGGGAGTTTTTCCTAGCCACCGTGCTTCTACACTGCATTACTAGCTGTTTGGGGTTTTAGGCTGGGTTTCTGTACAGCACTTCGAGATATTAGCTGATGTAAGAAGGGCTATATAAAATAAAATTGATTGATTGATCATTGCAACTCCACGAGGTGAGATCTTGCATGTAGCCCCAGGCCGAGGGAGATTGACAGTTCTTTTGTGTTTCTTCCATTTGCAAATAATCGCACCAACTGTTGTCACCTTCACACCAAGCTGCTTGGCGATGGTCTTGTAGCCCATTCCAGCCTTGTGTAGGTCTACAATCTTGTCCCTGACATCCTCGGAGAGCTCTTTGGTCTTGGCTATGGTGGAGAGTTTGGAATCTGATTGATTAATTGCTTCTGTGGACAGGTGTATTTTATACAGGTAACGAGCTGAGATTAGGAGCACACTCGAGTGCTCCTAATCTCAGCTCGTTACCTGTATAAAAGACACCTGGGAGCCAGAAATCTTTCTGATTGAGAGGGGGACAAATACTTATTTCCCTCATTAAAATGCAAATCAATTTATAACATTTTTGACATGCGTTTTTCTGGATATTTTGTTGTTATTCTGTCTCACTGTTCAAATAAACCTACCATTAAAATTATTGACTGATAATTTATTTGTCAGTGGGCAAACGTACAAAATCAGCAGGGGATCAAATACTTTTTTCCCTCACTGTATGTGATCCATTTTAGTCCGATTAATATTTTAACCCTTGTGCTTTGCTGGAAAAAAATGACATCCATTATGTTACGGGTCAAATTGACCCGCACAGTTTAAACACACTCAAGACAGTCAAAGAATTAAGTAAAAACAGAAACAACTTTATTTTGTCTTATCAGACATTTCAGAAAGAAGAAATACAAAACTTTTTATTTTTTTTAAACAATATTTAAGAACTATTTGTTAAACATATTTCCTTTCTCACAAACAAGATTTTTCAGTTTCCCCAAGTAGGTTTTTTCCCCCCCTATTGGTCCATATTATCCCTTCAGTCTTTCTCTCTACATGTTGAACACAATGTGTGTGTGTGCTTTCTGCAGATGTATTATTGCATTCTACACAAGTGGTGCTTGTTTTACTGTCTTGTCGAGGGGGGCAGAGCTGGCATCTTTTCCGTTTCTTGCCACTGCCTGTATCCACTGGATCCATTTCTGGTTGATTGGAGGCATGTGTTGATGGTCCAGCTTGAATTTTCTGGACGGCAGATGCAGCTGCTGTCGACCGAGGAGGCCGGACTCTCCTCTGGATCTTGGGAGTGATGAGAGCTTTGCCGAGCTCCTCTAGGAAAAGCCGGCGTCGGTACAATTTGCCACCATTCCATTGCTGGTTGATTTCAGTCCACAGGACATAGGCATTGTAAGCAGACACATCCACAATGTTGTAGAAAATCACCAAAGGCCAGCGGGCAGTCATGCGCTGACAACTATATGTTGCTGTGACTTTATCCAAATTGTCAACTCCTCCTTTGGTGGAATTGTAGTCCAGTATTATTTGTGGCTTGATGTCCTCTCTTGCACTCAGCGATGCATCTTTGTGCATTGTGCTCATTACAAGAACATTCTTGTTCTTCTTTGGGCAGTATGAAACAACAGTTGCATTTTCAGAGAAAGCAAATTTAGAGGAATGCACAGTTCTGCCCTGCATTTTCAGAAGCTCACTGGGAAGTTCAGGTTAGTTTTTTCTGATTGTTCCAACCATGGTCAGCTTTCTCTTCTGTAGTTCAACACCAAGGCGGGTAGGATGTGAAGAAGTTGTCACACATGATGTTATGACCTTGCAGCCCTTCACTCATGTCCAGCACCACCCGCATCCCTGGTTTTTCTCAGGCACTCCGCCGGGTGGCTTCCCAGTGTAAACTTGCATATTCCATGCATAGCTTGATGTGGCATCACATGCTGCCCATATTTTGATGCCACATTTTGCAGGCTTGTTTGGCATATACTGTCTGAAGGGACAACGTCCTCTGAATGGAACAAGGCGTTCATCAACTGTAACATGAGGACTGGGATTGTACAGTAACGGTAGAATTTCCACCCATTTATCCCATACATCTCTGATTGCAGCTAGTTTGTCTCTTTCACGTCGACCCGGTCTGGTATCACGGTTATCAAAGCGAATCACCCGAGAAATTATGTGGAATTCTTGTAGAGACATTGTTGCCCGAAATATTGGCCTTCCATTCTCTTCATTCCGCAGGCTGGCCGTTGCTTCTCCGTTTGACCGGTAGACTCCAGCTAATATGAGCAATCCAATGTATGCATGCAAGTCAATCCGATCCAGTGGCTTCCAGTTCTCTTGAAACACACGGCTCCCCTCCAAGTTGGTCATGTCCAGAACAATCTTCTCTATTGCTTGGGGTAAAAAGAGCTCAAAAGCTGATTGTATGTCATGGACTCGAGTGACAGCAAATCGTGTAGGTCCTGGAACCATTTTTATTACATTGGAAGCTGAGAGTCTACCTTGACCTCGTTGTGGTGACGGTGACCATTCAATATGACCATCTTTAGACTTCCATGTCTTCTCTTCTCTTGATGATGCTTGTTGCATGCTCTGTCTCTCATCTGATGTAGGGGATGGTACGGCAGACTCCTCCTCTGAATCCTCTTCAATGAAGACAAAATCTGGATCATCAACAGCATTGTCCTCTATCTCTGAAATATCCTCTGTCTCTGAAACCTCTTCTTCTTTTTCACTGTCACAGTCCAGAATTTGTGATAAGACTTCATTGATTGAAAATCTTTTGGAGCTCATTTTTGAGTGTCTGTGTCAGGGACCTGCTGCTCTCACACTGAGGAGAAGCTTGGGAAAGCCCTTTTTAACCCAAACACAATTCTAAAAGTGCAACCAGGACCAGTCAAAACAAAATAAATCAAAGACACTTTTTTGTTTTGCACCTGTGCAAATATATATACACATGAAAGCCTCCGGGTCAAAATGACCCACAACATCATGTTTGTATACAAAATGTACACAGACATTCCACAACACATCAGTGTGTCCACATTTTGCAGTTAGGTTCATGACCCTAAATGAGGAAAAGTCATGTAATTTCATGGCGAAAAAGAGTGGTTAACTAGTATTTTAGACAACGCAAATGTGGAAACGGGTCAAATTGACCCACAACATAATAGGAGGGTTAAGGCATATTGTGGTTATGCAACATTGCAATGTTGACGCATGGTTAATTTTCATACATTTCGAACCTATAGCATTAATTATTCAAATCGACCAAACATTAAATGATGTCTGATAGTACATTTGTTGAAAGCAACAAGCATTACAAACCAGAAACATGGAGATAAGACAGATAGATTTTGTGCACTTCTCACCAGCTGTTACTTCTGTCCCAAGGCTGTGTTACTCCCGCCCCGCCGGCAGGTACAAAAGTAATGTTGGGGTAATTCTGCTGTCGGTCTATTTAACTAAAATACCTTAGGAATGAAATTACAGTTGCTAATGGTAGAGGACATACATAACTTGTTTGTCATCAAATATGGTGTGTCTAGCTCTATCGATCTCTGAGTAATTAGGAAAAAAACTAAAAGTCTTTCTTTTGTCCCGGTTCTCCCCTACTAGTATTATTATATAGTAGTAGTGTGGTAGTAGGCCTAATCGTTCATTTTTGATAGGCTAATGTTACATGATGAAGCAACTCTGTACTTTTGTCTTGAAGCTAAAATGTAATGAGTGTAGCCTACAGACGAGAAAAGAAACCCTTTGTTGTCTGCACAAGCTTGTGAATTGTTGCATTATTCAAGAGTGTAATGTGGTTTGGTTCCATTTTACAAATGTGTAATATGGTTAAGATGAAAAGTCACTTGCATAGTTGAAGCATGCTGGCTAGTGTCTATACTGGGATATTTTATTGGGATATTTACAATAAATTTCCATTGCCAAGCGCCGAACCCTCTTTCGTAAACATGACCTTCCATTGCTAATGTGAATTGAAAAGTTAATGTACATTAATGTTTATATTATATATAAATGTTGTCGCACTTCCTCTCCTTCAACTTTCGTGATGAAGAAAAACTCCTTAGTTGCTGAGTCTGAGCAATGTACTGGTTGGTTTGCCACAATCCTGCATCTAATGTGGATCTTCCTGGAGATCACCCTGATTGTAATCTTAATCTGCTCTATTTGGGTCTAATCCCAACCCCATTTCAATTGGCAATTTACTCCGTCTGGGTAGTCCATGTGCACTTTCTGCAGACTTTCTAGGACTGCTCTATGGTACTGAGATGTCTGGAAAGTCATTGACAAGGTATCCTGATGAAGACCATGTCGGTTGAAATGTTGTAGTTGGGTCACACAGCTTCAATAAAAGGTCACATTCAAGGTCTTTTCAAGGTCCCTGTATGAATCAGTTGCAAAGTGAGGTTAGGACATATGACATATGGCTGTATTTTTCTATCCTGGTTCTATAGACCTCATGGGAGAGTCTGTTGTGTAGGCAAAGGAAAGGTGTACTGTTGCTACCTCGCTTTCCAACCAAGATGCATGAATAAAGGAGCCAATTAGGAACAGGAAAAACAGGGTTCCTCGTTAGGGTTTCCTGGCAGTTTGAAAATGCATGGTTTTTCCTCAACTTCTATCCCCTCCTCTCCTCTCTTATCACCTATCTACTGCCCTCCTTCCCCGAAAGACAACGAACAGTCAACTACTTCTCTCCCTCCTGTCTCATCTCCTCTCCTGATGCCCCTATACAGTAGGCTACATCTCCTTTCATCTTCTGATCATTTTTCACCCAACTGCTATCCTCTACCTAGACCTACCTTTCCTCTCATCTACCTCTCCTATCTTTTCCTGTCAATTTTCCCCAACTCTTTTCACTTCCCTTAAGTTCAAACAGACAGTGGAGAATGTCAACAGGCTCCAGCGCAGCAGCCAGCCCTCCTGTATCAGATGTCACCAATGGCGTACCACACAGCCCCGCAGCCCCTAAGGTGGGGGAGCCCACTGGCTCTGGGGGTTTGGCTTATTGCTTATTGTTAAACAAATCACTTCAAAAAGTAGGTTACCTGCGCATGTTCGTCCACTCCAAAAATAATTCCAGCATCCAAACAGTGCACTGTGCATTCATGCCATTTGATGAATGGAAAGAGACATCTGTTACAAAACATCAAAAAGTGTAATGACATTCGGCGATTGTTATTGGCTCTACACTCTTGTACCCTGAATTGATGCGTCTTGCTAACAAACATTTTTGTAGGAAGAATAGTTGGGATACCTGAAAAGCGGCTGAGAAATGGGAGTGTCCCGGGATGACAAGTGCAGCCACATGGGGAAAAAATTGTTTAAACCGTGACACAGAGGTGGGGGTGTTCGTTTAATTTGATATAAGCTTTTATTTTAATATTTACCACTGTAGCGGTACAAATAGAATTTTAAACAAATTAAATTAGCATTGTTTAGAGACCTTTTCATTTAGGGTGGACTCATGTCTCATTCAGAGGGTCTGATACCCTCCTGGGCCCCCTGTTATTCCTCCTCTGGATGGTGGAAGTTTTTAAAGAGCCTGTGATTTCTGACCACTCTCCTTTTTGTCTGGAACTGGGAATTAGAAGTATCTCCTTCCCCCCCCCTAAAAAAAAGGAGGTCCTAGACGGGTCATTTCTGGTGATGGTGGTGGTTCCAGAGAGTGAGAGCAAGTGGCTGTGGCTAAAAAGCAAACAAAACACTAGGGGGTCCCACACTCTGAGTGGGTGGAACCGTGCATTGAGAGTTATCATGCTATGTAGCAACATGCTAAGCGCTAACTCCAATACTTTGGCAATTAAATCAAAGCTCAATGGCTCCATTCAAACACATTATTTTGTGCTTTTCTTGAGATTGTTTGCGACCTCATTATCTCCATTAATTCCCTCGCCTCTCAATGCAGTTTCTCATCAGTGAGCTAACTATTGGCTGCCCTGTCTCCGCATGCATGCATGATTTGATTTGGACCCCTGCCTTTGCTGCTGAACTATAGACTAGTGAACTGGGAAAGAGTGGGATATTGACAGGGATAGGTTAACTAAACTCCTGTGCTAGATTCAGTTTTCCTCAATGAGACAAAATGCTGTGCATTTTAGGATTCGTTTTAATGATACAAGAAGTATTGATTTCTTAAGTCTTTTCACTCTAATCACTATTATCTTGAACTTTGTGTTATTATTAATATGACATTTTCATCAAGCTCCTGATTTGAATACGCTCCAGATAAGATATGAATCCAACTGGGTCCCACATCATCAAAGCAAACAATGTTGCTCAAAGTGATTTGACTAAAATGCTAATATTTTCCAATAATGCCCTGGAAATTAGTCTGAGAGCCCGTTGTCATGGTTATGAGCAATAATGAACACGTAGCCACCTACCCACCCCTGCTCTGTCTGTTTCAGACTCCCCTCCCAGATGGGGGTGAAGTGGGGCTGTGTGGGGAAAAATAGGTCAAACGCAGCCAAGCCTCTCCCTGAGAACCACTCCTGTACCACTCACCGAACAGCAATTCTCAAAACACAAGGAGACAAGGGGGAATTCTTGGGGCCACTTGTTGTAAAGAGTTAGAGGTACAAGCCTCAGTTGAAACCATGGGGAAAAAATGGGAATTCTTCATGCAAACCAATGCCAAGGAGAGTCAAAAACCAGAGGCACAGTGGATTTGTGATAAGAGAAGAACATAATGTTTCGAAACTGTGGGAATTAGCATTTTAGTTTCTTGTGATGTTGAATACAATATATATTTGGGAATACATTTATTTAAAGCAGAATACTGGTAGTAAAGCAACTGCATTTGTCAATATATGTAAAATAATAATAATATATATATATATATTTGTGAACTTTTTTTGTTGGCATTTCTGATTAAATTACTTAAGATGTTTACTCGCTTGCTTCAATAAATCTGTCCATGCAACCTGTTGCCTTTACAGCAAAGGGGATTGCGAGCCGCCCACAACAATTGGCAAGTGGCGCACTTGTTCCTCTGTAAGGGCTTACACCCCATAGTACCTTATACCCCTGCCATACCTTCCCTTCACATTTAAAATGTTCTCCAAATTACACTACAGAATATCATTTTTGCACTATGATACATCACACCCCGTCCCGTAACATCGTGTCGATCACTTGCAATGAGAGGCTTACCCCATTTGAATATCATCATGGTCAGCAGCAACATTTTGAGATTAACCTTCCCGAACTCCATGGTGAAACAAGTGACCCGTGACTTAAATAAGTAAAAAAGAAAAATATAATGAAAAAAAGTATTCACTCCAGAAGCATTCCCTTGGTGAGTCCCTTGGAGTCCCTTGGTGTTGCCCTGCTCTGCTGTTGGCATGCTACAGGTTGCCCATGCTTTGTCTGTAATGAGAGCAACAGCCTGAAGACACAGCCTGGCCAGAGTGAGAGAGTCTAATCAGCCATTGAGAGAGAGAGAGAGAGAGAGAGAGAGCGAGGGGACAGGAAAACAAGGCATGGATCAGTTGACAAGGGGTGGATTCTCACACCGCCCCTCTTGCCCCACCTCACCCTACCCCTCCTTTTTTTGTTATGAACAGCTACTGGATAAACCCTATTCTTGGGAAAACATAAAAAATAGAACTGGTTAGGTGTTAATAGCAATTATTAATGATTTGATTTCCTTGACTTTGTAACTTTTTTTCTAATTTGGCACACAGAAACTACAGGCCATGAGTAACTTGGTCAGAAAGAATGGCAGTGATTGGCTGCTGTTATAAGCAATTTCGCCTCATATCCGTCACCCAGTTTGACCTAGAGAATTGAAACTTTGTATACAGATGTCTTTCCTCATGCTGAACAAATTTGCCTCAAGGACCCATAAGGTCCGTCAGGATAAATTTTCCTACAGCTTGAACATTTTTTGGAAACCTTTGAAAAAGTTAGCCCCATGGTCATCACTTAACTTTTTTGTGAAAAGCTAAGGGATTGGTTGAGAGATGGCTGAGTTATTGATACAGTTGAAGTCTGAAGTTTACATACACCTTAGCCAAATTCATTTAAACTCAGTTTTTCACAATTCCTGACATTCAATCCTAGTAAAAATAAACTGTCTTAGGTCAGTTAGGATCACCACTTTATTTTAAGAATGTAAAATGTCAGAAGTACAGAGAATTATTTATTTCAGCTTTTATTTCTTTCATCACATTCCCAGTGGGTCAGAGGTTTACATGCACTCAAATAGTATTTGGTAGCATTGCCTTCAAATTTTTTAACTTGAGTCAAACGTTTCGGGTAGCCTTTCACAAGCTTCCCACAATAAGTTGGGTGAATTTTGGCCCATTCCTCCTGACAGAGCTGGTGTAACTGAGTCAGGTTTGTAGGCCTCCTTGCTCGCCCACGCTTTTTCAGTTCTGCCCACACATTTTCTATAGGATTGAGGTCAGGGCTTTGTGATGGCCACTCCAATACCTTGACTTTGTTGTCCTTAAGCCATTTTGCCAGAACTTTGGAAGTATGCTTGGGGTCATTGTCCATTTGGAAGACCCAATTGCGACCAAGCTTTAACTTCCTGACTGATATCTTGAGATGTTGCTTGAATATATCCACATAATTTTCCTTCCTCATGATGCCATCTATTTTGTGAAGTGCACCAGTCCGTCCCGCAGCAAAGCACCCCCACAGCATGATGCTGCCACCCCTGTGCTTCACGGTTGGGATGGTGTTCTTCGGTTTGCAAGCAACCCCCTTTTTCCTCCAAACATAACGATGGTCATTATGGCCAAACAGTTCTATTTTTGTTTCATCAGACCAGAGGACATTTCTCCAAAAAGTACGATCTTTGTCCCCATGTGCAGTTGCAAACCGTAGTCTGGCTTTTGGAGCAGTGGCTTCTTCCTTGCTGAGCGGCCTTTCAGGTTATGTCGATATAGGACTTGTTTTACTGTGGATATAGATACTTTTATACCTGTTTCCTCCAGCATCTTCACAAGGTCCTTTGCTGTTGTTCTGGGATTGATTTGCACTTTTCGCACCAAAGTTCGTTCATCTCTAGGAGACAGAACGCGTCTCTTTCCTGAACGGTATGACAGCTACGTGGTCCCATTGTGTTTATACTTGCGTACTATTGTTTGTACAGATGAACGTGGTACCTTCAGGCGTTTGGAAATTGCTCCCAAGGATGAACCAGACTTGTGGAGGTCTACAATTCTTTTTCTGAGGTCTTGGCTGATTTCTTTGGATTTTCCCATGATGTCAAGCAAAGAGGCACTGAGTTTGAAGGTAGGCCTTGAAATACATCCACAGGTACACCTCCAATTGACTCAAATTATGTCAATTAGCCTATCAGAAGCTTCTAAAGCCAGGAATCTTCCAAGCTGTTTAAAGGCACAGTTAACTTAGTGTATGTAAACTTCTGACCACTGGAATTGTGATACAGTGAATTATAAGTGAAATAATCTGTCTGTAAACAATTGTTAAATACTTGTGTCATGCACAAAGTAGATGTCCTAACCGACTTGCCAAAACTATAGTTTGTTAAAAATAAATTTGTGGAGTGGTTGAAAAACGAGTTTTAATGACTCCAACCTAAGTCTATATAAACTTCCGACTTCAACTGTACATCAGGAAAACGTAAGTGTCTATTTATTGAATCCTTTGTAAATCCACTCCAAAATAGCCTATCACAATGGCCACCTGGTGGCTGTGGTGGCCGTTATTCTATTCCGCCACAGACAGACAATGTATTTTCATTAATATCTGCTGAACCAATCATGATATCTGCTGAACCAATCATGACTACACAGAACAGGTGATGTCTAATAGACATTGTCTATACCTATGTTTTGATGGGCAAGAATTATAATGGAGCCATGTACAACATCATAAACTGTTCAGATTATTATATAATGGTGGACCACCATGGTAAGCCATAGAAGGAAAGGAAATCCACTAAAATTGCAGTTTATGATACAATAGAATATCATAATAATAATATGCCATTTAGCAGACGCTTTTATCCAAAGCGACTTACAGTCATGCGTGCATACATTTTTTGTGTATGGGTGGTCCCGGGGATCGAACCCACTACCTTGGCGTTACAAGCGCCGTGCTCTACCAGCTGAGCTACAGAGGAACACGTCATCATGTCTGTGGCATAGAGAGCCATACAGTTGTCTGCTGCTGTCTTCTTACCACTGGTTGTGAAAGTGGATAACTTTAAAACAGTTACAGAGTTTAATGGCTGTGATAGGAGAAAACTGAGGATGGTTCAACAACATTGTAGTTACTCCACAATACTAACCTAAATGACAGAGTGAAAAGAAGGAAGCCTGTATAGAATACCACTTTTCCAAAACATGCATTCTGTTTGCAACAAGGCACTAAAGTAAAACTGCAAAACATATGTCAAAGAAATTAACTTTATGTCCTGAATCCAAAGCGTTATGTTTGGGGCAAATCCAACACAACACTGAGTACCACTCTTCATATTTTCAAGCATGGTGGTGGCTGCATCATGTTATCGGTATGCTTGTCATCGGCAAGGACTAGGGTGTTTTTTAGGATAAAAAGAAACGGAATAGCGCTAAGTACAGGCAAAATCCTAGAGGAAAAGCTGTTTCAGTCTGCTTTCCAACAGACACTGGGAGTCAAATTCACCTTTCAGCAGGACAATAACCTAAAACACAAGGCCAAATGTACACTGGAGTTGCTTACCAAGACGATATTGAATGTTCCTGAGTGGCCTAGTTATAGTTTTGACTTAAATTCGGTTGAAAATCTACGGCAAGACTAGAAAATGGCTGTCTAGCAATGATCAACAACCAACTTGACAGAAGTTGAAGAATAAAAAAATATATAATGTGCAAATATTGTACAATCCAGGTGTGCAAAACTCTTAGAGACTTAACCAGAAAGACTAACAGCTGTAATCACTACCAAAGGTTATTCTAACATGTTTTGACTCAGAGGTGGAATACATTACATTTACGTCATTTAGCAGACGCTCTTATCCAGAGCGACTTATAAATAGGTGCATTCACCTTATAGCCAGTGGGATAACCACTTTACAATATGTTTGTTTTTTTGGGTTGGGTTAAGGGGGGGTAGAAGGATTACTTTATCCTATCCCAGGTATTCCTTAAAGAGGTGGGTGGGGTTTCAAGTGTCTCCGGAAGGTGGTGAGTGACTCCGCTGTCCTGGGGTCGTGAGGGAGCTTGTTCCACCATTGGGGTGTCAGAGAAGCGAACAGTTTTGACTGGGCTGAGCGGGAACTGTGCTTCCGCAGAGGTAGGGGGGCCAGCAGGCCAGAGGTGGATGAACGCAATGCCCCCGTTTGGGTGTAGGGACTGATCAGAGCCTGAAGGTACGGAGGTCCCGTTCCCCTCACAGCTCCGTAGGCAAGCACCATGGTCTTGTAGCAGATGCGAGCTTCAACTGGAAGCCAGTGGAGTGTGCGGAGGAGTGGGGTGACGTGAGAGAACTTGGGAAGGTTGAACACCAGACGGGCTGCGGCATTCTGGATGAGTTGTAGGGGTTTAATGGCAAAGGCAGGGAGCCCAGCCAACAGCGAGTTGCAGTAATCCAGACGGGAGATGACAAGTGCCTGGATTAGGACCTGTGCCGCTTCCTGTGTAAGGCAGGGTCGTACTCTCCGAATGTTGTAGAGCATGAACCTACAGGATCGGGTCACTACCTTGATGTTAGCGGAGAACGACAGTGTGTTGTCCAGGGTCACGCCAAGGCTCTTCGCACTCTGGGAGGAGGACACAACGGAGTTGTTAACCGTGATGGCGAGATCATGGAACGGGCAGTCCTTCCCCGGGAGGAAGAGCAGCTCCGTCTTGCCGAGGTTCAGCTTGAGGTGGTGATCCATCATCCACACTGATATGTCTGCCAGACATGCAGAGATGCGATTCGCCACCTGGTTATCAGAAGGGGGAAAGGAGAAGATTAGTTGTGTGTCGTCTGCGTAGCAATGATAGGAGAGGCCATGTGAGGATATGACAGAGCCAAGTGACTTGGTGTATAGCGAGAATAGGAGAGGATGTAAATGAGAATATGTATGTAAATGAGATGTTTGATTTTCAATAGATTTGCAAAAATGTCTAAAAACATGTTTTCACTTTGTCGTTACAGGGTATTATGTGTAGATGGGTGAGAGAGAAAAATCGATTGAATCCATTTTGAATTCAGGCGGTAACACAACAAAATGTGGAATAAGCCAAGGGGTATGCATACTTTCTGAAGGCACTGTATATGGCAAGGATAAGATAAGAAAAGATGTAAGGAACCTTCTTTAGCTGTACAGAGTAGAAGGTTGGAGTGCAAGCTGTGACAAGCTGTCCATTTAGGCAAGAAAGTACAGAAAAGTATATGTGACCACCAGACAGTTGTTCATTTAGGAAAGCCGAATCACATAAGTTAATGGCATGGATGACCAATAGGGTCATAATAGATCAGAGTGTCTTAGACCTAGGCCTGAGAGTTGTCCACATATGCAGACAAATCTCTAATATTCTATATATTTACTCAATCCACGTCATCCCCATTGGGACATAAATCCACAATGAGTTTATATCTTGGCATTCTGAGAATGTGGTCCTCTGTAGCTCAGCTGGTAGAGCACGGCGCTTGTAACGCCAAGGTAGTGGGTTCGATCCCCGGGACCACCCATACACAAAAATGTATGCACGCATGACTGTAAGTCGCTTTGGATAAAAGCGTCTGCTAAATGGCAAATTATTATTAATGTGGTCAAGACATCTGTCAACTTATCTTGGTATATTGGTGGTCCTCTGTAGCTCAATTGGTAGAGCATGGCGCTTGTAACGCCAGGATAGTGGGTTCGATCCCCGGGACCACCCATACGTAAAAATATATGCACACATGACTGTAAGTCGCTTTGGATAAAAGTGTCTGCTAAATGGCATATTATTATCTTGATGTGTTGTGTGATATTTTGGCACTGTTGTATATTTTGTTCGGTCAGAAGATGCAGCAGATTCTCCTGAGACCTCCACTGCTGAAAGACTCCATCCGTCTCATGTCGTTCCTGACAACATGCCAACAATCCAAACCATACAATAGAACAGATTTGACATTGCTGTTATATAGGTGGATATTTGTTTTGAGGCTGCTCTGCTCAGACCTCCAGATGGGATGAGTTGGACAAATGCATAACGTGAGTTTTTTGGCAAAGTTTTGAGATCTTCTAGGTGGCAGAACAGGGTCCACTGAATACCTCTGTGTTTGTATGATGTGGTTTTGGTCATAATCCAGTCAATGGTAATAAGGAAGAGGATCTGAGAGATGAAGAAATCCTGTCTCACTCCAGACTTCACAGTGAACCACTCAGACTTGCCCGTAATGACTGCATTTCCCTATGATTGTAACAATCTTGAATAGTATACCTTCAATAGTATACATTGAATTGGATCTCAAGATCTTCCATAGTGTCACCATGTATACTACCAACAGCCTTAAAGTCTACGAAGTGAGAATGGGTAAGTGGGGCAGTGGAGGTTCCTCAGCGGAGTAAGGGGAGGACCATCCTATAAAAATAGTGTAACATTAAAGTTATTATTTTTATATAAAACTATACTACATACATTCACGCCACCAAATAACTGATTAAAACATACTGTTTTGCAATGAAGGTCTACAGTAGCCTCAACAGCACCCTCTAGGGCAGTCCTTCTCAAATAGTGGGGCGCGCAGGGAGTAGGGTTTTTTTGCACCGAACAAGAGCACACAGCACAGAGCAGGAGATATGAAGTGCAGATAACAAACCCTTAAGAGACACCATGGAAAAATATTCAACAGGGATGAAAAGAATGGCGGAGAGAGACGGAGATAATGAGACAAACGTCTCTCGAAAGCTAAGACGAGGAAATATGACGAAGCGTATGTAGCGCTTGGCTTCACTGTGACTACATTGGGAGACGAGGAAAGACCGGTATGTTTACTGTGTCTAAAAATATTGGCAGTGGACAGCATGAAGCCAAATAAATTAAGGTGTCACTTAAAGACATTACACCCCAATCACCAGACCACTAAAAACAAGAGTCTTCTCTGCTATCTGTGAGGAGATGGGAGCTGAACATCAAGCTGTGCTGTTTCACAGTGAAGCAAGGTGGCTGTCACGAGGAAAAGTCTTGTCCCGAGTTTTTGAGCTCAGAGAGCAGATAAGAATGTTTTCGGAGCAGGAGCACAAGTATGACCTCGCAGAAAAATTTAGTGATGAGAACTTCCTGGCAAAACTGGCCTACCTGAGTGACATATTTGGAAAGCTAAATTAACTAAATCTACAGCTTCAAGGGAAAGATAAACACCTCCCTCAGGTCACAGACAAGATCAGCTCTTTCACTCGAAAGCTTGCAATGTGGGGCAGGCGACTTGATGGAAGGAAATACTGATTCATTCGAGAACCTGCATGAATTTGTTGACACTACTGACTATGATGCCACCTCAGTGATTCCATATATTAAGGAGCATATTTCATCACTGATGGGATTCTTTAAAAAGTACTTCCCTGAAAACAGTTCCCAATATGACTGGGTGAGAGATCCTTTCAATGCACCAGCTCCAACTGGTTTCAGCTCTGCAGAGGAGGACCAGTTCATTGATATGACGTCTGACTCCACATTGAGACTGTGGTTCACATCACAGACACTGAGTGAATTCTGGCTGAGTGTAGAGAGGCAGTATCCACTCTTAGGGCAGAGGGCCATGGGCATTCTTCTTCCTTTTGCAACATCTTATCTTTGTGAGACTGGCTTCTCTGCTGTTGCTGCACTGATGACCAAGTACAGGTCCCAGCTAAACATTGAGCAGGAGCTGAGAGTTGCAGTATCATGCTTCAAACCCTGCTTCGAAAAGCTGTGCACTGCAAAACGTGCTCATTGTAGCCATTAATCCTGACTTCCTCATTTTGATTTTTGTTTTATAGGTCAAAGTGTTTCATATATTGTGCTCCTGAGTTCATGTTGCTGATCAATTTGAATGTATTATTATTTATTGATTATATTTTATTTTTCAGTATCAAATGGTCAAAAACATTTTACAGTTTAAATAAGGATGGAATTTAATTATTTCTTTTCAGGCAAATTGATGCACTTTAAGTATTTTCTGTTACAGACTAAAAAACTATGTTAATAAAGTTATTCTTTGTAGTAAGTTGATCTATATTTCTTTTTTCTTTTTCTTTTTTTAAATGTTAATAAGGATACAATGTTATGCAGAGGTGTACTTATAACAATTTTATAGACAAATTATACTATTTACAGTCGCGTCGGAGAGTTGGGGGGCGCGAAATGTTTACTTCTTCCTAGGGGGGACGTAACAGAAAATAATTGAGAAGCACTGCTCTAGGGTAAGACAGCTATTTTCCGTCTTCCTCTGGGTACATTGACTTCAATACAAAACCTAGGAGGCTCATGGTTCTCACCCCCATCCATAGACTTACACAGAAATTATTACAACTTCCAGAGGACGTCCTCCAACCTAACAGAGCTCTTGCAGTATGAACTAACATCTTGTCCATCCAATCAAAGGATCAGAGAATTTAACAGTTTTGAACAAATTATTTTCTTCAAAAATGAAGGAGAAGCAGCAGAGAGAGAGAAGGAGAGAGCTAGCTTTATTCTGTTGTATTTTTTCTTATTGTTATTTTACCTTTCATTTACTTAGTTAATGCAGCTAATTTAGACTACTCATCAAACTGATGCAAACAGATAGGAATTATATGTACAGTGCCTTCGGAAAGTATTCAGACACCTTGACTTTCTTCACATTTTGTTACGTTACAGCCTTATTCTAAAATGGATATATATTTTTATAAAATATTATTATATTTTTTAAATCCTCAGCAATCTACACACAATACCCCATAATGACAAAGCAAAAACAGGTTTTTAGTAATGTTTGCAAATGTATTAAAAATAAAAAACATAAATTCCTTATTTACATAAGTATTCAGACCATTTGCTATGAGACTCGAAATTGAGCTCAGGTGCATCCTGTTTCCATTGATCATGCTTGAGATGTTTCTACAACTTGATTGGAGTCCACCTGTGATAAATTCAAGTGATTGGACATGATTTGGAAAGGCACACACCTGTCTATATAAGGTCCCACAGTTGACAGTGCATGTCAGAGCAAAAACCAAGCCATGAGGTCAAAGGAATTGTCTGTAGAGCTCCGAGACAGGATGGTGTCTAGGCCCAGATCTGGGTACCAAAACATTTCTGCAGCATTGAAGGTCCCCAAGAACACAGTGGCCTCCATCATTCTTAAATGGAAGAAGTTTGGAACTACCAAGACTCTTCGTAGAGCTGGCCGCCCGGCCAAACTGAGCAATCGGGGGAGAAGGGCCTTGCTCAGGGAGGTGACCAAGAAAACGATGGTCACTTTGACAGAGCTCTAGAGTTCCTCTGTGGAGATGGGAGAACCTTCCAGAAGGACAACCATCCCTGCAGCACTCCACCAATCAGGCCTTTATGATAGAGTGGCCAGACGGAAGCCACTCCTCAGTAAAATAAACATGACAGCCCGCTTGAAGTTTGCCAAAGGGCACCTAAAGACTCTCAGACCATGAGAAACAAGATTCTCTGGTTTGATGAAACCAAGATTAAACTCTTTGGCCTGAATGCCAAGCGCCACGTCTGGAGGAAACCTGGCACCATCCCTACGGTGAAGCATGGTGGTGGCAGCATCATGCTGTGGGGATGGTTTTCAGCGGCAGGGACTGGGAGACTAGTCAGGATCGAGGCAATGATGAACGGAGCAAAGTACAGAGAGATCCTTGATGAAAACCTGCTCCAGAGCGCTCAGGACCTCAGACTCGGGTGAAGGTTCACCTTCCAACAGGACAACGACCCTAAGCACACAGACAAGACAACGTCTGCGTGCTTTGGGACAAGTCTCTGAATGTCCTTGAGTGGCCTGGGCAGAGCCCAGACTTGAACCTGATCGAACATCTCTGGAGAGACCTGAACATAGCTGTGCAGCAACGCTCCCCATCCAACCTGACAGAGCTTGAGAGGATCTGCAGAGAAGAATGGGAGAAACTCCCCAAATACAGATGTGCCAAGCTTGTAGCGTCATACCCAAGAAGACACTAGGCTGTAATCGCTGCCAAAGGTGCTTCAACAAAGTACTGAGTAAAGGGTCTGAATACTTATGTAAATGTGATATTTCAGTTTTTTATTTTTAATAATTTAGCAAAAAATTCGAAATAACTGTTTTTGCTTTGTCATTATGGGGTATTGTGTGTAGATTGATGAGGGGGAAAAAAAACTATTTAATCAATTTTAAATAATGCTGTAACATAACAAAATGTGGAAAAAGTCAAGTGGTTTGAATACTTTCCGAAGGCACTGTATGTTAGCTAGCTGGCTAAGGCTATCCAACATTTACATTTTAGTAATTTAGCAGACGCTCTTATCCAGAGCGACTCACAGTTAGTGAGTGCATACATCCCCACACTGGCCCCCCGTGTGAAACGAACCCACAACCCTGGCGTTGCAAGCGCCATGCTCTACCAACACAGTAACTCTTCCAAGTCAAAGTAAGCTTTTGGTTTTATTAATTTATTGCCACCGGAACCTGCCAGTGTAACTGCCAGTGTAAATGGGAGGTGCCGGGAACAAAAAGTGAGCCCGAGAGGGGGGTTACCTGGGGGGCTCTGAGGTATCAGAATGCATGAAAGAAAAATAACTTTTATATTAAAACTTTGCATGCATTATCAGCGCTTTTGCGTACTGGCATAGAGCAGGAGAGTAGAGAGAGGCGCTTGCAGAAGTTGCACACATTGGGAATTTTTTTTGTGGCTTAGGGTCCGGGAAAGAATTGACCTTTATAAACGCATTTCATGCAATTCTACATCATTTTAGATGACTGGAGACATTAGCTGTTACACGCTGATCTGTTTCACCTATCCGTGTGATTGTCTCCACCCCCCTCCAGGTGTTGCCCATCTTCCCCATTATCCCTAGTGTATTTATACCTGTGTGTTTGTCTGTTGCCAGTTAGTTTTGTTTCGTCAAGCCTACCAGCGTTTTTCCCCTTGTTCCTGTTTTCTAGTTTTCCCGGTTTTGACCATTCTGCCTGCCCTGACCCTGAACCTGCCTGCCGTCCTGTACCTTTTGGACTCTGATCTGGATTACTGACCTCTGCCTGCCCTTGACCTGTCGTTTGCCTGCCCCCTGTTTTTGTAATAAACGTTTGTTACTTCGACAATGTCTGCATCTGGGTCTTCTCCTGAAATGTGATATTAGCAGAATATTTTTTAATACCTCACAAATGATCGAAAATACAGGCTAAATGACAAACTGAGAATCTGAGATCAATAAAAACGACCTTGTCTTGAATCCATCAATAGTCTAGGTCTGTGGAGACACACATATTGTACAATATGAGGAGGAGATTATAGTCCTAAAAAAGCTTTCCAGTTTCACTGACTCACCCAATGATGTGGTACTCACTCCAGCGATGGCCGATGCGCTCGTGCCAAAAGCTTATCTCTCTCTTGTTTTACTTTGTAAAACAATGCTATTCGCTCATTAGGTCTATTTAGAAGTTGATAACTTGGTAGCCTACAAACAGATTAGGCATCTCTTTTCAGCAGGATCTGTGTTTACCCACGATTGTATTTGACAAATCACGAAAGGCCTGTTCTGGCTGACAGCTGTAATTCTACAACTTTGGCAAAAGTATTTAAATGTATCAGGGGTGCTGCGGCACCTCCAGCACCCTTCCCATGGCTATGATTCTATAAGGAAATATATGATGAAGTGCAACGCTGGAGAGATGAGTGTTGCATGCTCATGTCTATCAGAGCAGGGAGAGATCATTGAAAGTGAATCTCATTCTAGTTCTGTGAGAGATACAGGCATGCTTCTCTCTCACCACAGCAATGGCCACGCGTTGGTCTATATGGGCTACAATGTTGCGCAAACCACAAACCCGGGCCAGCCCAACACAAATCAATTCTTTGAATATTAGGGTATCATGGTCAAAACATATAGATTGATTGGTTGTAAAGATGGGGCGAGGTCTGTCCATAATAAAGAGAAACTCTGCTTTTTTGACACCACACTCCAAAAAGCAAGTTCTGCAGGCTCTAGTTTTGTCTAATCTTGATTATTGTCCAGTCGTGTGGTCCAGCGCTGCAAGGAAAGACCTAGATAAGCTGAAGCTGGCCCAAAACAGAGCGGCACGTCTTGCTCTTCATTGTAATCAGAGGGCTAAGAGTTGAGGAGAGACTGACTGCATCACTTCTTCTTTTTATAAGAAACATTAATGTGTTGAAAATCCCAAATTGTTTGCATAGTCAACTTACACACAGCTCTGACACAAACACTTACCCCACTAGACATGCCACCAGGGGTCTTTTCACAGTCCCCAAATCCAGAACAAATTCAAGAAAGCGTACAGTATTATATAGAGCCATTATTGCATGGAACTCCGTTCTATCTCATATTGCTCAAATAAACAGCAAACCTGGTTTCAAAAAACAGATAAAGCAACACCTCACGGCACAACGCCTCTCCCCTATTTGACCTAGATAGTTTGTGTGTATGTATTGATATGTAGGCTATGTGTGCCTTTAAAAAATGTTTTCTGTAGTTCTGTCCTTGAGCTGCTCTTGTCTATTAATGTTCTGTATTATGTCATGATGCATGTTTTGTGTGGAACCAAGGAAGAGTAGCTGCTGCTTTTGCAACAGCTGATGGGGATCCTAATAAAATACAAAAATACAAAAATATGTGATCTGTGACTAGAATGGCGTTGTAAACAACAGCCAACTTTCCAGGACATAGACATGTCTTATATGGGCAGAAAGCTTAAATTCTTGTTAATCTAACTGCAGTGTACAATTTACAGTAAATATTATAGCTCAAAAATACAATGCTATTGTTTTAGGATAGTGCACAACAACAAAACACTTTTGTCACGGCAACTGGTTTGATACATTCACCTCTGAAGGTAAATAATGTACTAACATTCGAAAATCTTGCTCTGATTTGTCATCCTGAGGGTCTCAGAGATAATATGTAGCACAGTATTTTTATATTCAAATGTAGGAACTGGGTTGTATGTAGGAACCCCTGCTGTCTCTGAAAATGTATAAATTGGCCAATTCGGAACATTTGGGAAAACTCCTGCAGACTTGATACAAAATATTGTGTAGAGGTGTAATCCTTCACTGGATCAGTTTGAAACTTTGCGCACACAATGCTGCCATCATGTGCACAACATCTAAATTACAACTAGATTCCTACATCACTCTCTGGCCTTTCTCTTGCATTTCAAAGCTGATGCAACAACAACAAAAACATAATAGAAACGCATGTTTTAGTTGTTTGTATTATCTTTTACCAGATCTAATGTGTTATATTCTCCTACATTCATTTCACATTTCCACAAACTTCAAAGTGTTCCCTTTCAAATGATACCAAGAGTCTTGATTGTCCAGTCGTGTGGTCCAGTGCTGCAAGGAAAGACCTAGTTAAGCTGCAGCTGGCCCAAGAATATGCCATCAAGAATATGCTTCAGGTCCTGAGCTACAGGCAGTTAGATTTGTGTATGTAATTATAGGCAAAAATTGAAATAAAGATTACGATCCTTAAGAGGTTTTAACTCTTATTGCTTTTATTATAATTTTTACATTACAAACAGTGAAAATAATGTTTCATGTAACGAGAAGTACCAGAACCTGGCAAATGGGTTCCGGAATGAAACAGTTCAAAACTGAGAGGTGCCGGATCCTGTTCTGGCAGGTAACTGTTAACTGATTGCTGTACACTGTACTGTGTGATTGTACACATGGATTGGGTTGTGGGTTTACTAACGCATTAGTTTTACAGTTGTGGTCAAAAGTTTTGAGAATGACACAAATATTAATTTTCACAAAGTCTGCTGCCTCAGTTTTGATGATGGCAATTTGCATATACTCCAGAATGTCATGAAGAGTGATACAATTAATTGCAATTAATTGCAAAGTCCTTCTTTGCCATGAAAATGAACTTAATCCCCCAAAAACATTTCCACTGCATTTCAGCTCTGCAACAAAAGGACCAGTTGCCATCATGTCAGTAATTCTCTTGTTAACACAGGTGAGAGTGTTGACGAGGACAAGGCTGGAGATCACTCTGTCATGCTGATTGAGTTAGAATAACAGACTGGAAGCTTTAAAAGGATTGTGGTGCTTGAAATCATTGTTCATCCTCTGTTAACCATGGTTACCTGCAAGGAAACACGTGCCATCATCATTGCTTTGCACAAAAAGGGCTTCACAGGCAAGGATATTGCTGCTAGTAAGATTGCACCTAAATCAACCATTTATCGGATCATCAAGAACTTCAAGGAGAGAGGTTCAATTGTTGTGAAGAAGGCGTCAGGGCGCCCAAGAAAGTCCAGCAAGCACCTGGACCGTCTCCTAAAGTTGATTCAGCTGCGGGATCGGGGTACCACCAGTGCAGAGCTTGCTCAGGAATGGCAGCAGGCAGGTGTGAGTGCATCTGCATGCACAGTGAGGCGAATACTTTTGGAGGATGGCCTGGTGTCAAGAAGGGCAGCAAAGAAGCCACCTCTCTCCAGGAAAAACACCAGGGACAGACTGATATTCTGCAAAAGGTACAGGGATTGGACTGCTGAGAACTGGGGTAAAGTCATTTTCTCTGATGAATCCCCTTTCCGATTGTTTGGGGCATCCGGAAAACACCTTGTCCGGAGAAGACAAGGTGAGCGCTACCATCAGTCCTGTGTCATGCCAACAGTAAAGCATCCTGAGACCATTCATGTGTGGGGTTGCTTCTCAGCCAAGGGAGTGTGCTCACTCACAATTTTGCCTAAGAACACAGCCATGAATAAAGAATGGTACTAACACATCCTCCGAGAGCAACTTCTCCGGCCAGGAAACTCCTCAGACCTTAATCCCATTGAGAACTTGTGGTCGATCCTCAAGAGGCGGGTGGACAAACAAAAACCCACAAACTCTAAGCATTGATTATGCAAGAATGGGCTGCCATCATTCAGGATGTGGCCCAGAAGTTAATTGACAGCATGCCAGGGCGGATTGCAGAGGTCTTGAAAAAGAAGTGTCAACACTGTAAATATTGACTCTTTGCATAAACTTAATGTAATTGTCAATAAAAGCCTTTGACACTTATGAAAGGCTTGTAATTATACTTCAGTATACCATAGTAACATCTGACAAAAATATCTCATAACACTGAAGTGGCGAACTTTGTGAAGACCAAATACTTGTGTCATTCTAAAAACTTTTGACCACGACTGTAGTTTGTTGGGTATTTCATTAACAAGGTGACAACGATGTAGGCTGTGTAGCAGTTAGCGTATGAAGGTTTGGCTTGGAGAGGTTTTTGTGGATGGTCACAGACGGCTGTTGTGTTGTGCACAGAAATCAAATCAAATGTTATTTGTGTTACGTAATATCCGGAGTCAGGAAGCAGGTGAAGAAGGTAAGTTTAATAATGAAACGAGACAGATGAACAAACATGACAAACTGAGGGATAAATAAAGGGGGAGCAATCACGGAGAAAATGAAGACCAGGTGTGCGTAATGATGGGGAGCAGGTGTGCATAATCATAGTTGCCAGGGCCTGTGGTTAGTAGACCAGCGACGTCAAGCGCCGGAGGGAGGGAGCAGCCCCCCCGACACGCGGCACCAGCCGCAAGACGACGCCGGCCAGGAGGACGACCCCGAGGACGAGGAGCGGGCCGGTCCGGACGGCGGAGATGGAAATCCTGGATGATGTTGGGGTCCAGGATGTCTGCCACCGGGACCCAACAGCGCTCCTCAGGACCATACCCCTCCCATTCCACCAGGTACTGGGGCCGACCTCCATGACGTCGGGAGTCCAGGAGGGACCTAACAGCATAGGCGGGGGTCCCCTCGATGTCCAGGGGAGGCGGAGGGGTGTCATGGGGGGCGGCATCAGCCAGGGGACCAGGAAACACCGGCCTGAGGAGGGAAACATGAAAGGTGAGATCCGGTAGTTTTAAACGATAGGTTACCTTGAAGGGCCCCACACACCGGGGGTTCGCAGGAGTAGGAGTCACAATTTGCCACATGCTCCGAATACAACTGGTGTAGACTTCACCGTGAAATGCTTGCTTATGAGCCCTTCCCAACAATGCAGAGTTTAAAAATAATAATATAAATAGTAACACAAGAGGAATAAAATAAAATACACAAGAATGGAGCTATATACAGGGAGTACCAGTACCAGATAAATGGTACTGTGGTGTCTGTCTGTGCGCGTGTATGTGGGTGTGTGCCTGTGTGTGGGTGCGTGTGTGTGCTTGTGTGTGTGTCTGTGTGTGTGCGTGTGTCTGTGTTTGTGCGTGTGTGTGTGTGTGTGTGTGTGTGTGTGTGTGTGTGTGTGTGTGTGTGCGTGCGTGCGTGCATGCGTGCGTGCGTGCGTGTGTGTGCGTGCGTGTGTCTGTGTGTGTGTGTGCGTGTGTGTCTGTGTGTGTGTGTGTGTGTGTGTGTGTGTGTGTGTGTGTGTGTGTGTATGTGTGTGTCTGTGTGTGTGTGTGTGCGTGTGAGTTTGTGTAACGCATGCCTGCAGTGGGGAGGAGGTTATTGTTGCTTGTTTTCTTGAGGCGTCCTTGAGAAGACACTCTTTAATCAGAAATAGATAGCCGGGACAAATGTTTGACGGCTAAATCACACAAGGAGTGAGTAATCAAAAGTCAAGTGTTACTCCTCCTGAATGAGATTAAACACTCGCAAGCATGCGCACACACACATACATAAACACATACACGCACATACATACATGCGTGTGTGCGTACACACGGACTGCTATATACAAAATCAGTGTCACCCTTGGCCCAAGAGGAAATTACCCATAGGTCTAATGGTTAGGACATTGGTTTCTCCCTTGGGATTCAGATGCTGCCCGTGACACACACAGACTACATTCCTGTGCTGAGGGGAGGACGGCTCATAATAATGGCTGGAAAGGAGCGAATGGAATGGCATCAAACACATGGAAACCATGTTTTTGATGTATTGGATACCATTCCACTCATTCCTCTACAGCCATTACCACAAGTGCGTTCTCCCCAATTCAGGTACCACCAACCTCCTGTGCTGTGTAGTATTTCTACCACATTCATAGATAGCACACTAGTTTAATAGACTGTTCATTTGAATGAAACCTGATAAGGAGAAGATGCCATGAGGCAGTTTTAATCATGCGGTCAAGCACTCCCCCTTAAACTTATCTATCCTTTCGTCAGATCTGCCAAGTCAACAAGATAACAAATGGAAGAGCTACACAGAGAAGTCAAAGGAGAGTCACTTCCTCACTTTCAGAGAGTGATAATCTAAATGGCCAAACATGGGAGTGCCGGTAACGAGAGTCAATCCAGCCACAACAACGTCAATACAGTTTAGGCTTCCTAGGAACAGCTCAAATCTGTTTGCCCTTTATGAAGCTTAAAGTCAGAGCCATAAGTCTAAAGACAATGCATCCTAGAGGCTTTCCCCCAACAATTCCACAAAATTAAATAGTATAAGGGCAGATACGATACACAAACAAAATCCTCGTCTGGATGTGACTGACTGGGTTCGAAACTGGGTCGCCTCAAGAATGTGTTTGCCCGCTGAGCTAAAGCCTCAGGGTGACATTTTCAAAGTGCAAAATACATCGTAAAACTCATTTTAATCTCGCAGCGTGATTTACTTTGAAACTTTTCTTCAGCAATGTCGGTATGGTGATTACAGCTTACCGAGCAATACATAGTCGCCTCTTCATAATGCACATTGTTGAAGAAAAGTTTAAAACTAAATCACAATGCCAGCTTATAATGAGGTTTATGGATATTTGGTGAATTAATTTGCACTATGAAAATGTCGCCCAATGCATTAGCTAGCTCAGAGAGCTGACGAAAGTCTTTAGGTCGCAAGTCTTCAGGTTCACCGAACCACCTCTGCTACAAAGCAGAGGCACATCTGCTACACTAGGCACTTCTGAGTTCCTCTAACAATCTTTGGAGAATAAACATTAGACACTTCAAAAACTATACATCCAAACTCTTCACCTTGTTGGCTTCTTATCTTTTGGCCAGCAGAGTTTGGGGGAGGGCAGTAAAGGCAGGGTAATTGCCCTGTCTAGCTAGAATGGAGAGGGGATATATTTTATAGAGGGGAAGAGTTGGGGGTCAATTAAGGGTTGGGATAAATTCCAGTTCATCAATTGAAATTCATGAACATAATATAATGTCAAATGAACTCAATGACTTGATACCCCTATTTTCAAGGAGCATCCTTAATTTTTTTTTCCATTCATTTTTTTATTTTTTATTTTATTTTACCTTTATTTAACTAGGCAAGTCAGTTAAGAACAAATTCTTATTTACAATGACGGCCTACACCGGCCAAACCAAGACGACGCTGGGCCAATCCCTATGTCCCAATCATTAACAGTTCCTGAATTGCAAATGAAATTGACCTCAACCCTGATTATCCCAACATGGCTGCCTTAGGGTCCCCTGTAGCTCAGTTGGTAGAGCATGGCGCTTGCAACGCCAGGGTTGTGGGTTTGTTTCCCACGGGGGGCCAGTATGAAAATGTATGCACTCACTAACTGTAAGTCGCTCTGGATAAAAGCGTCTGCTAAATGACTCAAATGTCAATGTTTTGTTCCAATAAGTTAACAGAACCATCCAGCCATCATCAGTGAGTGAAGTCCATACAGTATGTCACCTCAGGCGTAGTGTAATCCTAAAAAAGCACTTCCCTTACAGTTCAGAAGAACAGCTAGAGCTCCCAGTGTTTTGGCCCAGATCTCACTGTCACGGTTTCGGCCGAGGCTGCCTCTCTCCCTTGTTCGGGCAGGCTTCGGCGTTCGTCGTCTCCGGAATTCTAGCTGCCACCGATATATGTTTCATGTTCGTTTGCTTTTGTCTGTTTGTTTCCACACCTGTTTCTGTTTTGACGTAATTAGTGTCCTATAAGTTTCTCGTTGTGTTTGTCTAGGGTTGTGTGTGATTGTTTCCGTCAGCGTTGTGTTTTGCTCGGTTGAGCGTATTTCTCCACTGTGCTGGAGCTTATTTGCACCTGTGTGTGCACCGTTACATTTTGTCGCACCTGTTAGTGCGCAATTACCTTTCGCCTTCGTGCGTGTTTTTGCTGTCGGGCTTAGTTGTCCTGTTGCCTGTGTTGGGCCAGTAATACAGCCTTTGGAACATTCAGTCTGCGTCCTGCGTTTGATTCCTACATTACACCTACAACACGCCCTGACACTCACCCTCTGGAAGCCGCCAGGACCGGGCATTGCCTGGCTTTCCACTGGGTGGTTTACAGGCTATTGACCAGCTAACACTGATTTAATCAGAGTTGCAATAAAGCCATTCAACAGGCATCCATTTAGACCCTTTACTGGGATTGTTAAAAGGACCTGCATCAAGCCCTCAGAGCCGTCATGGAGGGAGAGGTGACAGACAGTCGCACTGTGGTACGGCTGGGTCCTGCTATTGAATAAAGACAGGCAGAGCTCTCAAAAGGAGTTGTTCAGTTTGTTTATTGCATAACTGCAGTCAAAAGTATGGTGGCCCTAAGGGGCAAAGTAGCGTTTCAAATTTAGAGACAGTGGGCACACACAAAGTAAGTGCCTGATGTTTCTCTAAGATTTATGATTAGCTTCTTCTACCTTTCTCAAAGATTTATTGTTAGTGCTGGCCGTCATTGTTTCTCTTAAATTGGATTACTCTGTGACTGCTACAACACCCAACGTCGCGTTTGTCATTTTAAGGTAATTTCCGGTTGAGCTGACATATGCAGTGTTTACTGTGAATGCGATCTCGGTGAACAGGGGAACATTGCCTTTAAAAGGTGCATTGTCGACAACACACAATCAGATTTAATCCAGGCCTGTCACGCCCTGGCTCTAGGGACTCGTTTATGTTGAGCCAGGGTGTGTAGAGTCTATGTTTTGTGTTCATTGTTTCAGTTTCTAGTTCATGTGTTTCTATGTTGGCCGGGGTGGTTCTCAATCAGAGGCAACGTGAATCAGCTGTTGCTTGTTGCCTCTGATTGGGAACCATACTTAGGCAGCCGTTTGGCACTTGTGTTTTGTGGGATCTTGTTCCGTGTATGGTTTGTGTTTTGTTACCAAGGACTTCACGTATCGTTTTGTTCGTGTGGTGAATCATTAATAAAGTATGTTCGCATTCCACGCTGCGCATTGGTCCAATCCTTTCGACGATCGTGACAAGGCCCAACGTTCTGTTCAGAGTTGAGCATGCCATATTTTTCTTTAGGGTAGCTATCAAACCAGTGTTACTTATTACTCAGATACAAATGGAAAACCCAGAGATGCAACAAGACCGTTGTGGGAACAGTTGTGGGAACAGTTGTGGGAACAACTTGGATGTCTAGTCAGGAGCAAAGACATGCTGGAACATAGATATCCTTTTAAATGTATGTTCTGCTATGTAGTTCTATGTGCTGGAACATTGGAGAGGTCAGGCTGGCATAGACAAATCAAGTCATTGGAACTTAGCCTGGCTTCAGATCAATTTGTGCTTTTGCCAACTCCTCTCTGCCCCCCGTGTTCCCATTGTCATGACAACAATAGACAGTCGGTGGAGTTGGCTGAAGACACGCATATCCAGATCTGGGACTAAGCTACTGAAGGATATCTTTAGACTGCCCATAATCTGTATTAAATCATGACACCAATGAAGTTGTAATGCAGTGTTTAAGTTGGGCCAGGGGAAACGTAGTCAATGATTTAAAGTGATAGTTAACTTTTTGAAAGTCTTCGTTTATTTTCAACTTCCCTACGTTGTTGTCGTTAGTAGTGCATCTTTATTTGGTATACATTTTAATGTTAGCCATACCTATGTATTTCAGTGTCTATGACTGCCATGTGAGTATGAAAAAACGTGAACTTGAACTTGAAGCAGATATATTATAAGAATAAACATCAATGAGCTCCTCTCATGGCGTAAAACTCTCTACTCTTCTCTTTCAGGATAATCTCCAACAGTGGTGTAATGGAGGGTATATGCAGTTATACGCCGTATACCCACTAATTTTTTCAGTGGTCATTGCGTGTACCCACTTCTTAATCCCTACGATGCGTATCAAAGTAGTGTAGTGGAGGTACAGTATATGCCGAATCAATTAATATGGAACAGATCAGAATCTTTAGCTTAAAATGTTGATAAACTATTTTTTCTTCAAATTTTAGGCGCAGCAATGTGCACACGGTCGTAGGCCTATGCCCGAATGAAAAACAAAATGCAATTTATGGGAAAAAAGTTTTTTAAATGTGCACCGCACATGTGAATGGTTTCATGGACAGAGATTAAAAGATGGGGAGATCTAAAGATGCAACAACTATCATGGGTTGCTAATAGGACTAGGATAATGCCTTTGGCTGCTAGACAATGAAAGAAAGTTGAAAGAAAACCAATAGAACACGAGAACGCATATGAGTAAGTCTTTATAAAATACTTGTCTCCATGTTTCTATGGTGGGATTTTGGTTATAGGCTACTTTGAAGCAAGGTAAGACATGCCTCCTAATATAAAATAAATGTCCAGGTTTGCTTTATTCGCTCCAGCTTATAAGTGGTAAAGCTACACGAGGTCAGGGCCAGGGTAGAGTGCACAGGGTATTAATAGTATAAGACAGAGGTGACTCAGCCTTAAAAATATCAATTAGGGTCGAAACATTGCTAATAAAACTACAGGAGCATCTAAACAGGTATTTTGGTAGTAAATGTATTTAAAATCAAATCAAATGTTATTTGATGTGTAGACCTTTCTGTGAAATGCTGACTTACAAGCCCTTAACCAACAATGAGGTTCAAGAAATAGAGTTAAGAAAATATTAACTAAATAAAATAGAATGTAACACAATAAAATTACATAACAATAACGAGGCAATATACAGGGGGTACCAGTACTGAGTCAATGTGCGGGGTACAGGTTCGTCAAGGTAATTTGTACATGTAGGTAGGGGTAAAGTGACTATGCATAGATAATAAACAGCGAGCAGCAGCAGTGTAAAAACAAATGGGGGGAGGTCAATGTAAATAGTCCGGGTGGCCATTTGATTAATTGTTCAGCAGTCTTATAGCTTGGGGGTAGAAGCTTGGGGGTAGAAGGAGCCTTTTGCACCTAGACTTGGCGCTCCGGTACCGCTTGCCGTGCGGTAGCAGAGAGAACAGTTTATGACTTGGGTGACTGTAGTCTTTGACAATTTTTTGGGCCTTCCTCTGACACGCCTAGTATATAGGTCCTGGATGGCAGAAAGCTTGGCCCCAGTGATGTATTGGGCCGTACGCACTACCCTCTGTAGCACCTTATGGATGCCGAGAAGTTGCCATACCTGGTGGGGATGCAACCGGTTAGGATGCTCTCGATGGTGTATAACTTTTTGAGGATCTGGGGACCCATGACAAATCTTTTCAGTCTCCTGAGGGGGTAAAGGTGTTGATATGCCCTCTTCACGACTGTCTTGGTGTGTTTGGACCATGATAGTTTGTTGGTGATGTGGACACCAAGGAATTTGAAACGCTTGACCCGCTCCACTACAGCCCAGTCGATGTTAATGGGGGCCTGTTCGGCCCTCCTTTTCCTGTAGTCCACGATCATCTCCTTTGTCTTGCTCACATTGAGGGAGAGGTTGTTGTCCTGGCATCATCTGTGGATCTGTTGGGGCGGTATGCGAATTGGAGTGGGGTCTAGGGTTTCCGGGATGATGGTGTTAATGGTGTTGATGTGAGCCATGACCTGCCTTTCAAAGCACTTCATGGCTACCGACATGAGTGCTACGGGGCGGTAGTCATTTAGGCAAGTTACCTTCGCATTCTTGGGCACAGGGACAATGGTGGTCTGCTTGAAACATGTAGGTATTACAGACTCGGTCAGGGACAGGTTGGAAATGTCAGTGAAGACACTTGCCAGTTGGTCCGCGCATGCTCTGAGAACACGCCCTGGTAATCCGTCTGAATTTTGACCTGTTTAAAGGTCTTGCTGACATCGGCTGGTAGGCTCGTGTCACTGGGCATCTCATGGCTGGGTTTCCGTTTGTAGTCCGTAATAGTTTGCAAGCCCTGCCACATCCGACGAGTGTCAGAGCCGGTGTAGTAGGATTCAATCTTAGTCCTGTATTGACACTTTGCCTGTTTGATGGTTCGTCTGAGGGCATAGAGGAATTCTTATAAGCGTCCGGATTAGTGTCCAGCTCCTTGAAAGTGGCAGCTCTAGCCTTTAGCTCGGTGTGGATGTTGCCTGTAATCCATGTCTTCTGGTTGGGATATATACGTACAGTCACTGTGGGGATGACGTCGTCAATGCACTTATTGATGAAGCCGGTGACTGAGGTGGTATAGTCCTCAATGCCATTGGATCAATCACGGAACATATTCCAGTCTGTGCTAGCAAAACAGTCCTGTAGCGTAGCATCCGTGTCATCTGACCACTTCCATATTGAGCACGTCACTGGTACTTCCTGCTTTAGTTTTCTTCTAAGCAGGAATCAGGAGGATAGAATTAGGCAAGGGGGAGCTTTGTATGTGTCTCTGTGTGTGGAGTAAAGATGGTCTAGAGTTTTTTTCCCTCTGGTTGCACATGTGACATGCTGGTAGAAATTAGGTAAAACTGATTTAAGTTTGCCTGCTTTAAAGTCCCCGGCCACTAGGAGCGCCGCTTCTGGATGAGCATTTTCTTGTTTGCTTATGGCGTTATACAGCTCGTTGATTGCGGTCTTAGTGCCAGCATCGGTTTGTGGTGGTAAATAGACGGCCAGGAATAATATAGATGAGAACTCGCTTGGTAGATAGTGTGGTCTTCCACTTATCATGAGGTACTCACCTCAGGTGAGCAATACCTCGAGACTTCTTTAATATTAGACATCGCACACCAGCAGTTATTGACAAATAGACACACACCCCCACCCCTCGTCTTACCAGATGTAGCTGCTCTGTCCTGCCGTTGCACGGAAAAACAAAACCCAGCCAGCAGGTGAAACAGAAGATATTACAGTTTTTAATGTCTCGTTGGTAGGATAGTCTCAACAGTAGATCATCAAGTTTGTTTTCCAATGATTACACGTTGGCCAATAGAACCGATGGTAGTGGCGATGTACTCACTCGCCTCCGAATCCTCCGTACCCAACCACCCCGACCTTCTCCCTCTGTATTTCAGGGGCAGACTGGGTCAAAAATTCTGCCCTGGCCTTTTAGCCACACCAGCCCACATCACATCACCACACCCGCATCTTCTCTGCTGCCACTGTTTCTCTAGCTGTGCTTCTCCTTGTTATCCTCTGCTGTCACTCTGTCTCTCTGTTATTCTTCTTGATCTCCTCTGTTGACTTTTCTGGGGCATTTGCCTCTCTTGCTTGCTCTCTTTCTTCAACTTGATGAAGGGCCTTAGCATCATTATCTGGTTCACTGTCTGTGCTAGGCCTAGCATCATACTACAGTAGTTGTTAATGAATAAAAACACTTATTAGACAATTATAAGGAACACACATTGTCAACTAATTTTCCGTTTTTAAGTGTGTCTATGTAGATATAATCAGGATTATTGTGTCATTTGTCATATGAGTTCCCCCTACCCTAGTGTTAATTACTATTACATATTAAGAAACTGGCAGTACAGTACGTCTGTGTGTCTCTCTCTCTGTTTTCTTCCTACCTCCACTGCACTCGTCCCTGAGGTGGCTACG